GTTTTCGGTTGAGTTTCGGTAAAAACACGAGTTTCGGTTTAGTTTCGTTTTCGGCGGCAAACTTGCCGAAACTACGACCGAAACCGAATGTGCATGCGGGAGTTTCCGCGCTGTTATCGGTCATGTTCGGCGCGTTGAATGAGTGAATGAATCCGATCAGAGCCAATGTCGTGATTCGCTCGCTTGTTTGTTTGTGTTAGTTTTGTTTTGTTGTGGTGGCGAGTTTTGAATTTGGCAAGTTTTATCTCGTTTTGTGTCGTTATAACATAAGAGCGGGTAGTAAACATAAAAAAAAAACAATATGACTGATAAAAGTATAATAATAATAATAAATTTCATTTATTCAGATTACAAAGATCCAATTATGTTAGTATAATCTAACCTATACATTTTTTTTGGTTCGCAAATGCTATACGTAAACAAACATTAGTTACGTAGTTAGTAATGACTATAGTGCATTTCATGGTGATAATATTATGGATTCAGAGTTTCAAAGTTCATTTTAGTATTTATCACCAAGGTATCCAAGTGGCAAGTACAGTAACTAGATACTTACTAACTTACGTACTACCAATTTTGTTTTGAGAAATTGTTAAGGTAAAAGACCCACCCGACCATGGGACGGGTTATGTAAATGTCCTGAATATTGCAGTAATTAAAAAAAATCTAGACTTTAAATCCTTATTTTTCTTTTTTAATACATAATTTGATACCTTTTGAATGCAATTTAAAGAGAAAACAATAAAGACTGACTGATTATAATAACGTTTTCTTTATTTTTCCCTCAAAATATGAGCCTTGTAAGGAAGTTTCGGTTTCGGTTTCGGTTTCGGCCGAAATAGACACCGTTGCCGAAATTCGTTTTCGGTTTCGGTTTCGGTCGTAAAACTAGTTTCGGTCGGACACTAGTAAATACTCGAAATTAAGTTCGTAACACACTACAAAGCTTGTGAAAAATTTCGGACAAATCTTCCGAGTTTTTCCTTTGTGAAATTTATGTCTAGCAGTGACATCTAGTTTCGAGTAATATAACTTGTAGGCAGAAACTTATAATTTTTTACGTTACGATAGATGGCGTTATTTTAGAAGCATCTAAACCATAGACAAAAGTAATACTGTGTACCAATTTAATTTATTAGCCAAAGGAGGGCGCTGACTTACAAAATCAAACTCAAAAAACAGAGCTATCATAAAATTATAAGTATTTAAAATTTATCAATGTTACTGAGTAGGACATAGAAGAATAGAACTACTATTTCTTTATTTATTAACTTTAATTTTACATTATTAAATATTTAGTTCTCTTTTCTGCCGTTTTGTGGTCGCCAAGGCTTTGACATTGGCACATTGCACACTGCACACTACTCTTTTATGCTCTTTGCTGCACACAGTTGATTTTGACATTTGTTTCATTGTTTGACACTTGCGAGACCGTGGTGTTTGTTTTGTGTTTGTTTGTTTGGTTTCTTCAGCGAACAGTATTAGCTAGACTGCGTGGTAATTTGGAGTGTCCGAAGTTCTAAGTGTTACTTACCATCATGAATAATAAAATGATTGAGAAAATCATACAATCTAATCTCGGTGTGTGTCCGGAACTGTTTTACAAGAATCCTATTCTCGACAAGGATGTAGCCCAAGCGTTGGCGAAGAGTTTTGTGAAGATTCTAAATCTGTCGCAGCAGAATTCCAACATCCACAACAACCTGCGGCTTTCAATTCTCGAGACTATTCGGAAGATGTGCCTTGTTGAGCCCAAAGGTCATCTTTCCACGGACGAAACATTAACTGAAGCTCTGAGCGATATTTACGCGGAACAAATGCAAGTGGACGCGGGCGATTCGACAGATAAGGAACTAGACGCATTCTTCGTTAGAAGGTTCAAGAACATGAACATGAATTCCCAGCATGAGTCAACAGTGAACCCAGAAATCGTGCAGGCACTCATAAATTTGAATGAAAATGGTGTTTATTTGGAAATTTTAGCCAAAGATATTGTTCACTGGGATGCCAACAAAGGTAATTACTTATCTATCATCAAGGATTTGTGGAAATCAGAAGCTGTAGACAAGTGTCTAGAAAATATGTATGATGATCTGGCCATAAAATTGAAGCCAGATATCGAAAAAATTATACTCGGTGTATGCCATAATATTTTAGTCCATCGTGATGTGGAATTAGACACTATGTTCTCTAATTCCTCTCTAATACAATTAGTCAAACGTAGTGCCATTTCTCCCGAGTGCTTCCAAGTATGCACTGGTGCATTAAATTTTCTATTTATCATGACCAATTATGACCCCAAAATTCAAGCTTTCATTACTGCATTCATAAATAAAGTAAAGATACATTGTCCACAAGTCACTTTTTCGATTTTATATCCTGTTCACATGAATCACATTGTTGTAATGCTTGATTTCAAAGTGACTATGCTTCCTGAGCCGTTACGTACTCATTACATCGAACCAACGTTGAAACACATGCATGAGCTCCGGGATAAATCTGAACATGATTTTGTTATGTTAATGTCACATTTTCCACAATGGTTTGATATTTATTTCAAGAGTAAACAAAATGTGTCTCCTATATTTTAACATACTTTTCATAAAATTAAGTCATTTACTATGTAATTAGTTTTGTAATCAGACTGCCATTAATGTTAAGAGTAATTACTTAATCAGTCTTGATATTAGGAAATATAGTATAATTTTATTGAATCATGTATTCAAAACAAAGAATGTCACCCCTTTAGTGGTATTTGGCTTACACTATTTACTCTGTAACTTAAAAATGATCTACTCTCATCACTTTATCGAATGTGATACAAATTTTATTTATCTAGAATAGATAATTATATGAAAAGTTTGTGACTCATAAAAATATTTTTTACATACATGTACCTGTAATTAGTTGGTAAGAAAATAAAACACTAGAATTTAAATCTTTCTTTTATTAGTTATATTTAGTAGTAAGTAACAAAAAAACAAAGTGCAGTATAAAGACTAAGGCTGAGCTGCACCACCTTATTTTAACCGTAACAATAACCGGTGCTTTTAGTGTGGAGTGCGAGAGATTTTTGACGTTCGTCAAAGTTAAAGTAAGATGATGCAACAGCCTTACACAGTCTATATCAAATCAAGACTTTTATCCTGTCTAATCTATATCCATAAGGCCTCAGCCTCGAATTTAGCGGGCAGCGGAGCGGCGGCGGAAGCGGCGCGGGAGCGGCAGGATCTTATGCGTAAAATCAAATAGACCGGTTCTCGAAAACAGCGGCGCGGGAGCGGGCAACGAGCGGGCAGCGCACGGTGGGCTGATATTAGAGCTTCATAGACTTAGCGTCGCTCAAAAATCAAGCGCCGAATTTTGAAAAAATAAATATGCCAATGTGTTCCTTTACCAAAAAGGAATATTTTATGTTATGTAACGTTTCTTGATAAAGTTATTATTTAATAAGTTATTGACAATTTCCTTTTTTTTTGTATGGAGCTCAACATTTATTTTTATTTTATTCGTTATTCTCAAGCTTTCTTAAGAAATTGACTTTTGTATTATGTAATGCAACATATAAGCTATGTTATCACCAAGTGTCGCATTTCGGAAATCTTCGGAACATTGTCATTTTGGACTTTAAAATAAAAAAAAATAAAAAAATTAAATAACTGCCAAATTTTGTAAATATAACTACGCCAATGTGTTCCTTTGCCAAAAAGAAATATTTTATGTTATGTAACTTTTTTTGATAAAGTTATTATTTAATAAGTTATTGACAATAATTACTTTTTTTTTGTATGGAGCTCAACATTTATTTTTATTTTATTCGTTATTCTTAAGCTTTCTTAAGAAAATGCTTTTTGTATTATGTAATGCATCATATAAGCTATATTATCACCAAGGGACGAATCCCGGAAACCCTCGGAACATTGTCATTTTCGACTTTAAAATAAAAAAATAATAAAAAGAAAACTGCAATGTTATGTACTTTCTTCCGTACTATTCTAACGAGGTGAAGAACTAAGCACGTTTTTTATAGTGGTGTTCCCAGGAGGCCTAATCCACATGATTACTAAGGTTACTATAATACATATAATATTTGTTTTATGGAAATTAAGCCAGTTTGAAGTTAAATTTATTGGTTAGACTCAAGCGCCACTTTCTGAATCTACAAAAGTAAAGTTTTCTTTCTCAGTATCAGCCTAGACATGAAATTGATCATTTATAGTGGACTTTTTGGTGGTGTTGAAAACCTTTCTTGATGGCAATTACGTCTAAATTATTCATTTCTGTTGATATGGCTTTACAAATATCACATCGCTGCTTGTGCCATTTATCAACGATATTATTTTTCTATCTATCAAGTGAGAATCAGTTATTACGAGATTGTTTTGCTTCCAGAATTTTATTACGATCTATTAAATTTTCAATTTCCGCGTCCATTAAGTTTTTTTCATTGTTAACATTAAAATAGGTCGACAATAAATTAAATGCAGCTTATTTTGAATAAAAAAAAAATTTCTTAAGAAAGCTTGAGAATAACGAATAAAATAAAAATAAATGTTGAGCTCCATACAAAAAAAAAGGAAATTGTCAATAACTTATTAAATAATAACTTTATCAAGAAACGTTACATAACATAAAATATTCCTTTTTGGTAAAGGAACACATTGGCATATTTATTTTTTCAAAATTCGGCACTTGATTTTTGAGCGACGCTAAGTCTATGAAGCTCTAATATCAGCCCACCGTGCAGCGCACTCCTTTTTTTTGCCCACAATAAATCGAGCGAGCGCTCCCGCGCCGCTGCCCGCTAAATTCGAGGCTGAGGCCTTAGACTGACCATAAACTGCCCATATAATCTTGAATTATTTCAATCCATCTATTGTCTTCTAGACATTGTAGAGGTATCTAAATATTTCTTATTTAAATAGCTTTATGACTAATCTATGTAATGGTAAGTTTTAGTAAAAATAAGTAAAACTCATAAAAATAATAATAAAAGGAAATGTGCATGAAATGTATATTTTACACTAGATTTAATTTCGATGGCTTGACTTGTGGATCAGTTGTGTTCAATACTTTTTTAAGTTGGTACAGCGCTTCTTCACATGAACTCTTTAGAACACCCAAGGTGAGCAACTGGAGATAAAGGATATCTGGGTTTTTGCTAGTTATTTTCATCATCTTATCATCCACGCGCAGTTTTCTGAACACTTCATACTTCACCCTCTTAGCGACTTTGTGGTGCTTCGAGTTCAAATGCTTCTCCATCAGCTCCCAGTAAGGATACAGTTTGTTGCATGTGCCGCAATGAAAACGATTGCGCACCTAAAAATAGAAAGGGTTATGAGGAAAATGTGTTATTTTTTTGTGAAGTTTCTTTTTTATTTGCATAAAAATCTGAACAAATCTTTTGTACCTATTAAATATTGCTAGCTTTTGCCCGCGACTTTGCTCGTGTGAAATTTGGTCTATCACAGTAAACTTTATCGCGCGTGTCTCTGATTAAAAAACCAGGATAAAAACTATCCTACATCCTTTCCCGGGACTCAAACTATCTCTCTTCAAATATGTTAAAATACTTACTATCCTTATGAACTCTCCCGGTATATCCAGCACTCTTAAATTAAGGAATTCCTTCTTATGGGCTGAGGTGCTATAATGCTCAAAATCGTAGTCAAAGCGGTAAGGAGCATTGCAGATAAAGCATTTCGTTACGTCATACTGAAAGCGTTTATCAATATTGTATACCATGACAAAAGAATGGATGTCGAGGCAAACGGTCTTGTTGATGCATAGAAGGTTTTCTTCTTTCATCACGTACACAGCATTCAGCCGTTCTACTATAGACCTGTGTGTGTCCGTGCATGTCTTGTGTATTCTACTAGATTTTTTCCCATCCAGCTCCAAGTTGCCTCTATGCCGTGCGCCTCTTACGTGTTCTTTGAACAATTTCAAGTGGCCCGATATAGTTGTCGTGCATAATCTGCAGTACCCTTTACTCCCGCCTGAGTTGAGTCTTATAAAATTCTTGCTCCCATACTCCTTTAGCTCTCGTCTACGCTGCCCGTGATCTGTCAACTCACAGAACACCACTTGATACTTGTCATCTTCCGAGTCACTTTCTACTTCTTTAATAGGTTTGGAATTTTCATGGATTTTTTTATGATCGTGCATAATTTGGAACTCTAACTTCAGCACACATTGGCACTCATTGCATATCGCCAGATTCTTATCGTCAAGCCTCTCGTAGTCATATTTCAGACGTTCCAGAAGAACCTCTTCAATTTTTTGCTTAGGATTCAGGCGATCTTTTATCGCGGTAGCGGTAGCATAAGTGGTTTCGAAGATACAATCGGCTTTAAAGTCGATATGCTCTTTACAAGTCCAATGGTCCTGGAAGACGGACATTTGTAGTGCTTCCTTACAGCATAAGCAGTAGAAGCGATCATTGTAGAGCTGAAACCAGTATTAATAAATAAGTGCAAAATTGCCTCTTTTCAGTTACGTTTCTATGCCTAACTTTTCACAATCGAAAACCAAAATTTACGTGGTAAGTAGGTAAGTACCTTTAAGTATTAAGTTAAATAGATTTGTATTAACAATTATTCACCTTTATTAGCTGACAGTGCTTTAAAATTATAGTATCATAGTTCGTACCAACCTTTCTGTAGAACTTATCGCCTTCGACAACCACCTTAGAGCCAATCAAGTTTATGATATGGTCCCGTGTCCTGCAATGCTCTACCATAAAATCGCCGACGAGGAAACCACACACCAGACAAAAATTTTGATGTGTTATACAGTTCCAGTCTTTTTCCTCCACGATAATGTCAGTAACTATAACGTACTCCAGTTCTCTTGTACAGGCGGTGTTGATTAGTTCAGCTTCGGTCTTCGGTTTCGCTTTGCTGGCTTTATGGTCATCGGTAGCGACATGGGTGTTCATCACCTCGATGCTTGGCGCTACATAATTGCAGACTTCACAATAAAATAGCTCTTCCACCTAAAATCAAAAATCAAAAAAATATTTATTCAGTTTAGACCACAAGTGGCACTTATGAACGTCAATAGAAAATAATAAAAAAAGAAAAGGTAGCCCTTATGGGGCACTTTACATGTCTCCTTATCTTTTGGGCCCTACCAGCGCTTCGAGACAAACATATGGCAAGTGCTGAGAAGAAACGCCGGAACAAATAAACTAAACTAAACTAAAAATAGGCAATAGAAAGAAGTAAGTATTTCGCGCCTAACTAATACCTTTAAACGATTACGTAAGTAATTTAGCAATCTTGCAAACTAATGGAATAGGCTAAGTATTTTTAATAGCTCGAAAAATCGAATTGCCTAAAGTGGGAATCGAACCCACGACATTTCGCTTGCCGGGCGACTGCTCTTAACCATCTAAAAAATTTTAGTAAGTAACTGCATTAATTAATGTGTTTATACTCGCGTGTAAGCGAAATAATATAAGAGACTGGACAGTTTGACGTAGGTAAAATGCAAGACCGGAAGAGATTGCCACGCAGGCTTATGTTCGCCTTTTCGGCCTTCTATAGTACCACTCCCTAGTAGGTACACACAGTAAGTAGGCTATGAATATAGTGAGCTTCTGGGATCCGTATGTACTAAATTGCTATGTCAACTAAGCATTACAGAAGTAGCCTAACTTGTGTACTTAGAAAGCTCTTCCTACTAGAAAACTTAGGTCTTAGACCTATTAATTAATTACTTACGCGTACGTAGGTAGTTCGATTATATTAAATACCACTGCCTCTGATAGACTAGAGGGTCGTGCATTGAAGATATTAATTATTATTATGACCCGACCGCTGACGATGCAATGATGATGATAATAAAATAAATAATATACAAACCTTGTAGACGATGTCCTTCTTAAACTTGTGATTTTTAACCTGGGACTTCAGCAACTTCCTGTGATTTTCCCAGCGAATGTGCTTGTCCAAGTCGGATCTATCCCTAAAAGCCTCCACACATAACAAACAATAAAAATCTACTTCCCCCCACAAAATGAAGTTTCTATAATATTTATTACCCATTTCGATAATCTTCGTCCACTAATTCGTGAGAAATGAATTTGTGGATAGGTACGGAAGACAGGCATAAAATGCGGGTAGGGTGGATAATTTTTTTGTAATCGGCAAGTTTGTTGGTTCGTAAAGTGCGCGGGGCGTTTCTATCGGCAATGGATGGGCGCAGCAACAAACGAATCACAGATGGCGCTTTAATAGTAGGTTCTGTCTCAAAAGAATACATTACTACTACATTATTGTAGTGTTTTTATTGTTCTCTAGCTAGTGCTGGCTTTTATTAATGTTATTATTTATTGGGCGGTGATTAGCATTATTTTTTAAGGTTTTTTATTTCTTTAATGATTCCACTTGTAGATCTTCTAGCTACAACAGCGCTATTTTGAAAGTTGCCAAGAAAACTTCTCGTAATCTGTGATCAATCAAATGTCAAGTTGAAGTTGAAGTTTATGATGAGATGATGGCCGATCCGATTGTCAAATTCGTCTGAAAAAGGACGCTATCTATATTGGCTTTATTTTTGTGATTGTCCAATTTTCCAAAATACATGGTTTTCTTTCTGTAAAACTGTAAGTGTAAAATGTAATCTGAAATCTGAATCTCATTGCACAAGTTTTACGCGATCTGTATCCGATTAGAAACGGGACGTAGGTAACCATGAGTAAAAGACGCCGGGCGTCTTCTGTGGCCAGCCGGGGGGCCGACGGTGATGATAGCGACGATGTAGAGCTCAGTAACCCTGGACCGCCGCCATCGGCTAGGAAGAAGAAGAAGTTGGATCCAGTAAGTAACCGCTTGAACCGAACCCGCGTAAGTATGGTCTGTTTTAAACGGTGTGACGCTTCAGTCGCTGCCCTGCGAATAAGGAATGTTTTTAGACGATAATTAGAATGAGCGCTGTTTCTCCGATTTTATTTCATTTGCATGCTGGAAGATCAAATTGCATGATAATATACTTACCTACATTTTAAAATACTTTCTATCAAATAGTTAAATAGGCCATGCCAATGTAACACAACATACACATAGGCTCTGTTTGTAAGGAATTTAAATAGTTTTTGTTAAGTTTGATTGACAGCATGGTTTTATTTTTATCCTAACCCAAGTAGACTATCAGAAGTATGTAAATTTCCTAATTTAGTAGCAACCCCGTCACTCGTACTAAGATTACAAACATCTAGTTAGTGATCAATCATTCATAGCCCGACTCATGGCATGCCTTCAATATTACTTGATTTAGCATGGAGTATAACTCTTCATCTAATTACTTAAATTTTTAGTCACATGAAATCTACAATGCTTCTGTGGTTTTTAGGGAGAGATTTGCCAACAACTGTACGATACGATAAGATCTCACAAAAAAGAGGATGGAACTCTATTGTGCGATTCATTTATACGAGCTCCTAAACGTCGTCAAGAACCACACTATTATGAAGTTGTGTCCCAGCCTATTGACTTGTTGAGGGTATGTGTTTTTTAACAGTTTTACGTAAACTAATAACATTTAAAAATATTTTTGTTTCTGTTGATCATAAACACACCTATTTGATTATAATGTTTACGTCTACTTCAATCTCTTTTTATTTATTTAAGGTTCAACAAAAACTAAAAACGGATACGTACGAAGACATTGATGAGTTGTCAGCCGACATTGAGCTTCTCGTGAACAACGCGAAAGCATTCTACAAATCAGATTCAGTGGAGTACAAGGATGCAAATGACTTGTGGAAACTTTACACGCACAACAGACAAGCTCTCGAAAATGGTATGTTATTTTAAGTGTTCAATAAGTATTGTGCATAAATAATGTTACATATTTTTTGTGTCCAGGAAATTAAGTGGAGTGTCACTTCTTTGAGACAAACCTTTAATTTAAAGATATTTTAATGTAACAATAACAAACAAATAATTATAATTCTTTTACCATCAGGGCTGCCTGTAAAAAATAAGGACTTCTCAATTTACCCTCTAATTTATTAATTAAAAATTAAATCCTTATTTATATTATTTATTTATTATTTATTCAGGAGAAGAAATCAAGACTCCAAAAATGTCTCGTAATGGCTCTTCAAGCCGTAGATCTGATGTGGCTGAGGATCTATCAGAATCGTCCACTAATAATGAGGAGGACAATGTGTTTGAGGAGTTATTTAATGCTGTAAGTTTATCACAAATATTATTCATGACTAAGCATGTTGGGGAATTTGGAATTCAATGTATTTAATACGAAATTATCTTGTTGAGTGATTAGTTTTTTATTTTACTTTTTATTATTTCATCAACATCATTAATTTGTGAAAATATTTCACTTACGTCAGCAGTTTATTGTAAAGAAATAAACACAGAAATATTCAAGCAACAATTTTTTCTTCAGGTCATGACAGCGAACGCCGACGGCCGTCCTCTCTACCCAGCCTTCCAGTTCCTACCATCAAAGCGCCGCTACCCAGAGTACTTCAGTGTCATCGAAAACCCCATAGACTTGAAGACAATCGCACAGAAAATACAGGGTGGCGAATACTGCACACTACTTGAGCTGGAAAGAGATCTACAGATGATGGTCAGAAACGCCTGCCATTTCAACGAGCCTGGCAGTCAGATTTATAAGGATGCTAAGACACTGAAAAAGGTAATTGATCAATTTTATTTTATACTACAACATAATCGGAAATTCAATAAATTGATTCTACAACTTTTGACTTTACTTGTAGGTTCAATTCTTCAAAGCCAACTGTATGAGTGATTACTGTAACAATGTTCAATGCTAAAGATTTCAAATCAAATCCCCTATTTTATCTATTTAGATAAATTCTAGGAAATATTCAACTAATTTTTATCCACAGTGACAAATCCTATGTCTTGCATCTTGCATCACCTGATGGAAACTGATGATCAGACCGAATGCGAAATCTTTTTCTATTTTTACGATTGGCTGATTCACACATCCCTATTTAAGAAGTCCCGATTTAGACCAACGACAATTTGAATCTATTTTGGAGGCTTGCCTACCTCAGACCTAACATTTTGATTTACACCAAGAGGTTTGACTCTGTTCTCAAGTGTTTCCTAATCCTAGCCTCATTATTTCAAAACCCATTCCAGGTGATCACGGTACGCAAGCAAGAAATCGATCAACACGGGCGCGGCGGGCCACCGAAGACCTCCGAACGGATCCGCAGCAAACGCACGTCCCGCGTCGGCCCCGTGCCCTCCAGTAAGGCGCTGGCGATCATGGAGCCGCCGGGGTCTGACCAGGAGCCCGATGTTAAGGTAGCTTTGGTTGTTTATAAATTTTTTTGTCCGTGCTTTTAACCTTTTCAACGCCAATGACGGATACATGCGTACGTCAGGTTGACCGCCAACGACGGATTAATCCGCCTTAAAAATTATGTCAGTAATAGGCTTATTGAGTATTATGTAAACTGAATAGTAAGGAATACAATGATTGATGTCATAATTTATCAAGCACTAGCTTTCCGCCCGTGGCTTCGCCCGCGTGGAATTTTGTCTGTCACAGAAAAACTTTATCGCGCGCGTCCCTGTTTCAAAAACCGGGATAAAAACTATCCTATGTTCTTTCCCGGGACTCAAACTATCTCTATGCCAAAGGATGATGGGCACTTTTCTATGGAATCTGGGCGTAAAACCAACAGAAATGTAACTACTATTATTTGTTAGGACTTAATATCAGAAATATATTTTCATATAAATAACTACCTAAAACTCCCGGGTTTGCTTGGAAATTGACATAATGTGTAATAGTAATAGGTGCTTTATTGCGCAAACAAAAAATATTATTAATTAATATACTTATCTACTTACATTTTGAACACATTAGTTATTTATCCATTATTATGTCCAACAGTTCAGGAGTGGGGCCAACAAATGGTATATTTAAACCATGTTCTACATTATATGCGTAGGACCATACCTAGGTACCATTTAGAGAAATGACATGAACACAGTCATGTTTCAATGGGATTTCTACCAGTTGTTGTGTTGTCGCATAATCGAACACGGATCGATTATTAATCGATATTGCCAAATAACGATTTATCGATTAACAATTCGATTAATCGATTTTATTGATTACTATCATTTGATTGTTAATTCAATTCCTTATTTTCAGCAATGTAATCGATTATTGCAATCGAATAATCGATTATGATTTATTCGGTATACATGCTTAGTAAATCGATAGAATCGATAGTAAGATATGATACAATACTCTCAATATGATCGATAAAAGCAATCTAATTGACCTAATACTATTTTTATTACCCTAGTGTGATGTGAAATACTATGGAAACTTTGCATATTCAACGACCTCTATCTCCGTATCCCCGAGTATTTCAGGATTGTTGTTATACTATGAAATGAAGTACTAGTATTAAGCTTTAATTAAGTATACTTTTTGTTTCTGTTGGTTTAACGCCCAATATGCCCATCATCCTTTCATCAAAATCGGTTGCGAGGTTTAAGCGGGAAAGCGTAACAGACAGACAGACAGACAGACAGAGTTACTTTCGCATTTATAATATTAGTTGGGATAGCGTCAGAGTGATGGCTTTTGTATTTGACGTGGCGCTGAAAAGGTAAAAAGATTTTCTGAACTTAGTAAAAAATTTAAAATCAAATCCATTTATTTGCTTCATAAGCGGTACAGCATATTTTATGTCAATATAAGTAACGGGATAGGTCCCTTTAGTAAATGTATGTTACTGCCAGTACCATACACTGCTGGTAATAACTAATAGCTTGCGTGATAGGTCCTTTTGTAAAAATATTTTTTTTTAACGTCTGGCAAAGCCGTTTTCTTTAACTAGTAACTAAGCAAAGCTTAAATAAGACATAAAATAAATAACCCAAGAAATTTTACACTGTTTTATCTAGATACAACAGTGTAAAATTTCTTGGGTTATTTATTTATTTATTAAGTGGTCACTCATTTTTTCCTTTTTCCTTATCCCAAGTTTCGCTTGCAGCATTCGGAGGACAGCGCGGGCGACAGTGATGAAGAGAAGATCGAAAATGAAGATTCACCGCAGTGGAAGCTGTTGGAGACAATAAAGAATCACCTTGGTTCTAACGGTACGTTTATTGTAATATACTGGGTCAATTTGTTAAACTCTTCAAGTACCAGCGAATAGAGATGCAATAGAATTTAATTTGTTATAAACGAGTTAATGCAAATAGTAATCGGTGATAAAAGAGGTCTCAAAATGCTTGTGACACGAGTGGGCTCACCACAATAGTCGAGCGTCAGTAGGGTTCGAACCCGAGTTCCTCATCATATTAATATACTACTCATAATACAATACGCTTGGAAAGACCCAAACCCAGCGCCTAGAAAGAAGGTTGATCGTTCATTTACCTATGGGGCCGTCCATATATTTCGTCATTTTAAATTAGGGGGGGGGGGGGTTGGTCNGCCCCCCCCCCCTTCCGCCGCTACTGATTACATATAATACTAGCTGCCCGCCCCGGCTTCGCCCGTGGTACTTACGTGTATTATACATATAAACCTTCCTTAAGAATCACTCTATCTATTAAAAAAAAATAAAAAGTGATTCTACAAGTGTTTTAATTTTGTCAAACTGGTAATGACGTCAATTTTGGGAGAAGGGGGGGGGGTCATTAAGAAATGACGCTAGGATAGGTAATTTATGGACGGCCCCTATGTAATATTTTTCCTTACTCTTATTCAGGTACACCAATGGCCGAGCCATTCTGGAAGCTGCCCTCCCGCAGAGCTTACCCAGATTACTACAAAGAAATCAAGAACCCCGTCTCTTTGAATCAAATCAAGAACAAAATCAGACGAGGCAGCTACGGAACCCTGTCCGAAGTGGCCGGAGACATGAACATCATGTTTGAGAACGCTAAGCAGTATAATGTGCCTACTTCTAGGCTGTATAAGGATGCTGTTAAGCTGCAGAGGTAGGTTTTAGATTGCATTTTTAGCTAAAGTTAGTTTTAGGCCCAGAACACGGTGAAACGCAACTGCAACGAAACTGCAACTTCTAGTTACTTTTGAGTTGCATCTAAGTTTCTACCATAGTGTCCGTTGAGAGAGCACACATGACGCGACCAGTTTGACCAGTTCAAAGTTCAAATTGATTACCATTCTTATGGAATATTACTCTGATGAAGGCTACTGAAAGAGTTGAACTCTGATCCTATGACATTTTGTTACTTTTTGAAGTTATTTTTTAAATGTGTTTGGATGTCAGGTCTCGTTTTCTATAGCAACGTTGCAGTGTTTTGAAGATTGAGGAAAATTTTGGACCATGGCTACTAAGTGCAAAGGATTTGTTAATGAAAGAAAGATTATTATAATTTACACTTATTTATTTAAAACACTTAAAACTAACTCATACATCTACAATTACATACTCTTGAAACTACAAATAATGAATACAGTTCATCCCTGTGATGACTTTATTCCCTTCACTGGTACCAGCTATCAGTTCACCACTGTAATTACTTTATTCCGTTCACTGGTACCAGTCATTAGTTCACCACTGTTCCATCAATCAGTTCATCACTGTAATGTCTTTGTTCCCATTACTGGTACCAGCTATTAGTTCACCACTATAATGACTTTATTCCGTTCACTGATTCTAGAAATTGTTTAACACTGTGATGACTTTATCCCCTTTAGGTACCAGTGACTTCACCGCTGTGATGACTTTATTCCCTTCACTGGTACCAGCTATTAGTTCACCACTATAATGACTTTATTCCGTTCACTGATTCTAGCAATTGTTTAACACTGTGATGACTTTATCCCCTGCAGGTACCAGTGACTTCACCGCTGTGATGACTTTATTCCATTCACTGGTACGAGCTATCATTTCACCACTGTTATGACTTTATTCTGTTCACTGGTTCTAGCAATTGTTTAACACTGTGATGACTTTATCCCCTTTAGGTACCAGTGACTTCACCGCTGTGATGACTTTATTCCCTTCACTGGTACCAGCTATTAGTTCACCACTGTAATGACTTTATTCTGTTCACTGCTTCTAGCATTGTTTAACACTGTGATGACTTTATCCCCTGCAGGTACCAGTGACTTCACCGCTGTGATGACTTCATTCCATTCACTGGTACCAGCTATCATTTCACCACTGTTATGACTTTATTCCGTTCACTGATTCTAGAAATTGTTTAACACTGATGATTTTATCCCCTTCAGGTACCAGTGACTTCACCGCTATGACGACTTTATTCCATTCACTGGTACGAGCTATCAGTTTACCACTGTAATGACTTTATTCTGTTCACTGGTTCTAGCAATTGTTTAACACTGATGATTTTATCCCCTTCAGGTACCAGTGACTTCACCGCTGTGATGACTTTATTCCATTCACTGGTTCCAGTAATCAGTTCAGCACTGTGATGACTTTATTCCCTTCACTGGTACCAGCCATCAGTTCACCACTATTCCGGCAATCAGTTCATCACAGTGATGACTTTATTCCGTTCACTGATATGAGTAAACAGTTTACAATGCATAAACATAAAAATTACATAAATAAAATACTTAAAATAAAAAATGGAAAACATACACAATAATCTTAACTATTTACAATTCATAAAAAAAAATATTTAAAAAATTACAACTAATGATATTTACAATGAAAGATTACAAATTAAAACTAAGGCTAGATGATTTTCTACTTTCCAAGCCGGTGCTTAATATGGTCTTTTATGTGATTTTCCACGATTGTAAAATCTTGGTATCTAATCAAGGACTCATAAATCATAGTTGTTGAGATAAATGTGTCTGTATGTCCACCACCGATTGTTTTATTGTGTGATGACTTTATTTCCACTACATGTTGAGTTCTCTGTGTTGCCAGTTTATTTCTGTGATGACTTTATATCCACTACGGGTTGTTCCATCAGTGTGATGACTTTATTATTCCCGCCACAAGCTGTTCTCACTTGACCACTGAGATGTTATTTTGCACCACGGATTGTTCCATCAGTGTGATGACTTTATTATTCCCGCCACGAGCTGTTCTCAGTTGACCACTGAGATGTTATTTTGCACCACGGATTGTTCCATCAGTGTGATGACTTTATTTCCACTACAGGTTGTTTGTGTTGCTAGTTTACTCCTGCGACCACTGAGATGTTATTTCCATCATGGATTGTTCCATTACTGTGATGACTTTATTATTCCCGCCACAAGCTGTTCTCACTTGACCACTGAGATGTTATTTTGCACCACGGATTGTTCCATCAGTGTGATGACTTTATTATTCCCGCCACGAGCTGTTCTCAGTTGACCACTGAGATGTTATTTTGCACCACGGATTGTTCCATCAGTGTGATGACTTTATTATTTCCACTACGAGCTGTTCCATCAGTGTGATGACTTTATTATTCCCGCCACAAGCTGTTCTCACTTGACCACTGAGATGTTATTTTGCACCACGGATTGTTCCATCAGTGTGATGACTTTATTTCCACTACAGGTTGGTTGTGTTGCTAGTTTACTCCTGCGATGTTAATTCCACCAAGGATTGTTTCATTAGTGTGATAACTTTATTATTTTCGCCACGAGCTGTTCTTGGTTGACCACTGCGATGTTATTCCACCACGTATTGTTTTATCAGTGTGATGACTTTATTCCCTTCACTAGTATCAGCAATCAGATCACCGCTGCAATGTTGTTTCCACCACAGATTGATTCATCAGTGTGATGACTTTATTATTCCCGCCACGAGCTGTTCTCAGTTGACCATTGAGATGTTATTTTGCACCACGGATTGTTCCATCAGTGTGATGACTTTATTAATTTCGCCACGAGTTTTCAGTTGACCACTGCGATGTTATTCCACCACAGATTGTTTCATCAGTCTGATGACTTTATTCCCTTCACTAGTATCAGCAATCAGATCACCGCTGCAATGTTGTTTCCACCATAGATTGATTCATCAGTGTGATGACTTTATTATTTCCACTACGAGCTGTTCAGTTGACCAGTTACAGGTTGTTTGTGTTACCAGTTTTTGACTGCGATGACTTTTTCATTAGAGATTGACTTCATACCGTTTATTTGTTACATCTGAAACAAAGAAGACCTTATATTAGAACTGACAATAAGGAATAATAAATCAAAAATAAAATATTGTCTGTGAGTCTCTATTATAGAAGATGGAATAACATACAGAGGAATAAAGTACAACTTATTTTGTACAATACACACCTCTAATCCATATCTGTGATACACACACAACGAGTAATGATATTCGACGACTTAAAATTATAGATGAGGCGTTTTGCATACTTATTCCGAGGCCGCAAAGTTTTGGGGTTATAATGACAAAGTATTATTTAAAATCTACGTCTATACATTGTAAATTGTAATAAATGATGTGATGATGGTGCAACGTAATAATGTAAATCAACTTACCGTTCTCAAATAGTTTTAGTTCGTCTTGCAGTCAACCACAAACTGCACATAAAATAACACTGTTCGAATTTATTTTACAATGTTCACTTTAGATCCGCTTGTTACAATGGTATATTGTCCTTCCACTATGTTTCACGCTCACTTTAGTAAAGATTCCACAAAAATCAACACAATAAATAATTGTTCTTGCTTGACTCTAAAGGTTGTTGACCCGAACGGTGCGCGAGCGCGAAGCGAACTGACAGATCGCGCCGAATGACGCTGTTTTATACCGGCGTGTGGGCAGTGTTGCCAGTATAGCAACTTTTTTGCACGAAGTAAATAAAACAATTGAAAGGTGTAATATCCTAAACAATTTTTGTTATTTTCAACTGTTTCACTTTTCTTTTATCTATTGTTTATGTGTAAAAATTATGGTGTTATGAAATAATATGGGTAGTTAAAATACCACGTGCAGGCTTCGTAGCTAGACATAGTTGATTAGTTTGTATGATTAAACAACTTGTTGTATGTTGTCTATTTTAATATTAGAATTTATTGTCTGGTTAGATACATCGATAGATCTTTTGTTGATGTCTTTGTCGAATAGACAAGTTATTGTAAGATGTTTATGAAGCCTAAACACAATGTGTGTTAGGCATAGTAATCAAATTGATCCTCTCTTCTTCTTTGTCCTAGCAATTTCCCAATATTTGGGGTCGGCTCTCTTTGTTCTGGACAGGATATTCTGTCCTGGGTTGTCGAAACATTTGTTTGGGCAAGTTCTAAAAGTCCTTGGCCACCAAAATTTATGAAATTGATCCTACAGTCTAAATAAATAGGCGTCAGAAAAGAGAATTGATTGAGAATTCTGCGCAGTAAATACCATTGCGGTTTTGATCCAGAGCGCTAATAAAACCTTACCTACTGTCAGCATCAAATATATCTTACAAATTACATATTTGTAAACTTAAAGATATTACGAACTTTTAAATTATTTTACTATAGTTCATAGACATATTTGATGCTGAAAAACTGTTTAATTGACAGACTAATGCAACAGCGCGTTCAAGAGCTGCTAGACATCGTGCAGAGTTCGTCCAGTGATGAAGAGAGTTTGTCTTCGGTGAAGAACCAAGTGAACACCCCCAGACCTAGAGGCAAGTAGATCATCATCATCATTTGAACCACAGGACGGCCACTGAACATAGATCTTCTCCAAGCAAGTAGATCGACGTCTCAACTGACAGATTTCCAAGTCTCTGATTCGCGACCTACGCCAATTTATTACAGACCATATTATATCCTAACAAGGGCTCAAAATTGTTCGCACGGGATCTGTCCATTGGCTAAAGTTTACTGACAAAGCATGTAGAATATTTTACGTCAGTTGAAAAAGTTTGAAGTAATTAATTTCTGATTGTAATGAATCTCCAAAGTCCTGAAGCTGTGGCAGACATAAGTTTGTATTTTTGTAGGTACGTTTTGTGGTAAGCAGATGTTATTTTCCAATTTCAAACCATGTATATTCATCATTTATGCACTGAGCACGCCCCTGATCTCAAATTATAGAACTGCGGGACTACTCTCTACATAATTTCGAATGTATCCATCTCTCTTACGCAAAGCGAGATGTTAGCATGAGCAACAGTGACAGATAGAATCGACAGCTTGACAGTGTGAAGATTGAATTTGAATAGTCTCCAGGGATTCCAACAGTTATTTTGGAACCCCACGCATTCATCACAATATTATGGGAAGAGTTCGAAGTATAATATGGACTTCTCCTATGTTCAATTATTTGTGTTTTGTATTATCTATAACAAACTGCAGATGTTCAATTTTATAAAATGAATGTTTGTTTGTTTGTCCCGATGCGTTCCCAAACTGTTCATCCGATTGCAATACTTTGGTGAGTTAAATGTCCACACACCCGCCAAGGTTTTGATTTTGCACACATTAAAAACACATACATACAACGCGAACGAAGTCGCGGGGAACATTTAGATTCAGTTTTTTGATGCATAGTCAAAACAACAAATTGGCAAATTTTGTTACCAGTGGTAAAATATTAACAGATTGTAAACTAATAGTTAAAAATTGTACTAAAATTCATACTAATCATCGTAATAAAAACGCATTTTTCTGATATTTAACTTGTCATTAAAGACATTGGTTATTTTGACTGCGGATAAACCAAAAACTGCATTAGTCATCAGTATTTAACACATAAAGGGTATAATGACTAATCCGCAAGGCCATTAAAGCCTTTCTTAGTATGTAATAGATAAGACGTACATTTCTATTATGTATTGTTTAAAAATGAATCACTTAAAAAGGGTTAAAAGATAAGAAACAATAGGCTGTAAGCGAATTGGCATACCTACCTAATGATTGTTAAAGTATGTTTAGTCACTTTTGCTAATGGTATTTTTAACATTTTAATAACACGTGCGCTGTTTTTCTCGCAGCTCCGTTCGCGTGAATTCTTTTATTTAAATGACATTTTACACAGATTTATTCTACTCTGCAATATTGTATTTATTTTATTATGTTAAAAAAGCAAGGTTCGGAACCTTTTAATGTGTAATATATTATTTTACTAAGTAGGCAATCTTTTGAACTTAATTATTGACTACAAAAATACTGACACCTACGATACGATTTGATTTTTATCCTGAACTATTTAAAATCGTTTAACTCATACAATTTCGGCGCATGTTTTTAGATCAATTCTTGTAGTTCCGTTTTAGAGCGCTTTCTCATTCAGGTCAGGCAACTTTAGCAGCGTGACAAATACGTGACAGCATCGCTGCCGATAAATAATATCATACTATATGACCGCGGATACCTGCCTTTACATTATCAAAACACCGCTGCCGCGCTGCTGTCGCGCTTCTGACGCCCTATTGTGAAAGCGGTCTTAGGATTCGAATACAAGTACAAGTCTGGCTTTTCAGACTTGTACTTGTATTCCAATCCTAAAGAGTACTCTATTCCCAGGTCGTCCGCGCCTGAACCCCACTCCAGCGTCGGCGCCGTCACCCTCGCCGTCTCCAGTGCCCAAGCCTAACGTGCCTCTCAAGAAGAAACTGCACTACATCGCTAAACAACTGCTGGAATACACCTGCCCTGACGGCAGGCAGCCCATGCTTCTGTTCATGGAGAAACCCAGCAAGAAACTGTACTCGGAGTACTACAATGTCATCGAGAAACCCATTGATATGATCACCATTGAGGCTAATATTAAGGTGAGTGACTATCCGGTCATCAAGTCTCCTCTAGTGCTTACACAATGTGTCTCTCAAGAAGAAACTCCATTACATCGCTAAACAACTGCTGGAATACACCTGCCCTGACGGCAGGCAGCCCTTGCTTCTGTTCACGGAGAAACCCAGCAAGAAACTGTACTCGGAGTACTACAATGTCATCGAGAAACCGATTGATATGATCACCATTGAGGTGAGCGACCATCAGGTCATTTAGTCTCCACTGCAGTGTCTAAGGCCAAAGTGCCTCTTAAAAAGAAACTTTTACCCTTTGGGTAAGGAACCGTTCAACCAAGCAGCGCGCGAGGTCCGTTCCGACGCATGCCATTTCAAAATTTGACGGTTTCATTTCGATAGATTGTAATCTTTCGAAAAATAATGCAGTAAATTGTAAACAGTATGTTTTTGTTTCACAATATTTCGAGGTAAAATTGTAATCTAACGGTTATTCAAATCTTACGGGGACATATTCATAATTTTAATACGTACATCTAAACATTTAACGTTATCTTATTTCACAGAACGACCGCTACAATACAATGGAGGAACTAATATCCGACTTCCGGCTTATGTTCGCCAACTGCCGACAGTTCAACGAAGAAGGCTCGATGATATACGAAGACGCGAACCTTCTAGAACGCGTCATGTTGGAGAGGCTCAAAGAACTCAGCAGTGGCACTCATGAGAGGAAACAGAACTTGAAGAACATCAAAGTTGTTAAGAGCAAACAGCTGACGCAGTTTGAACAGAAGCTGAGGACGTTGTATGACGCGATTAGGGATTATAGGGATCCCAAAGGTATGACTATTTGTTACATCATCATCATTATCATTTCAGCCATAAGATGTCCACTGCTGAAGATAGCCCTCCCTCAATGATTTCTGTATTAACCCATTGGTAGCAGTCTGCCTGCATCCAGCGCCTTCCTGCTACCTTTATGAAGTCGACGTTCCACCTTTGTTATGTATCATGGTGTTGATATACAGCTATCTCTCATCTTTCTCTAGACAATGTACAGATCGAGCTCTTTTAGGGTCAGTGCCTGAGATATGGGAGTGGCACGGGAGAGAGGGTGTTTTTGTGACGTCAACGGTTAGTGAGACTTAAGATTTGCTTCACACTTGTATGCTCTGTCGCTTCATAAATGTCACCTCTCCCGTGCCGTTTCTTACCTTATCGATTTCCAAAGTTTGATATTATTAGAGACCGGTAGATCTATTCTCATAAATAAAACACTGGATACTTTCACATTATATTGCCTTAATTTAAGTAGCAAAAGAGCGCGCAGAGTCGTCCGGCGCGCGTACCTCTATTCTCACGTATTCTAGTGTAACATTGACATTATGTCAATGTCACTATGACAGCAGCTTATTGACTATAACGATACCGTTATTTTAACGTTTTAGATTTTTCATAATGAACAATAGAAAGTAACATAAGTATTAACTCTAAGATATAAGCTTCATTTGAATACTTTAATCAATCATATTTACATTTTTCACAGCCAACCGCCAACTAGCCCTAATCTTCATGAAGCTGCCCAACAAGATAGAATACCCTGACTACTACGAGCTAATAAAAAACCCTATAGACATGGAGAAAATAGCTCACAAGCTAAAGAACAACGGCTATAGCTCCGTGAACGAGCTCGCTTCCGACTTTATATTGATGTTCGATAACGCGTGCAAGTATAACGAACCTGACTCCCAGATATACAAGGATGCGCTTATATTGCAGAGGATGTGTTTGCAGACTAAGCAAATGCTTAGGTGAGTGTTTTATTAAATTTATTTCTCGTTGTAGTGCATGACCGAGAGTTCTCATGCTATACAGAAGAACTACAGCTTCATGTGAATGAAGTAATAAGTTTTTAAGTTATCTGACCATACATATTAGCTTAAGTCAGCTAAATAGGGATGTTTCCTAGGTAAAAAAGCAAGAGTTTTAATTAGTCCGTCAGTTAGCTTATCAAAAACTACTCGACACGTATTTTTCACTTTTTAAAACTAATGAAAATGTAAAGAGATAAAGGGTGCCAAAGTTCTAAAGAAAAGGCCCGTGACGTCAGTGAGTGCGTAAAAGTGCAGCACTTTGTGACGTCGTGCGGAACTTCAACGCACTATAACTTTGTACTTACTTGTTTGATTGACAATTAAAAATATACGTGTCCAATATTTTTTTATATCAAAATTGAAGGACTAAAAAATTTTTTTTAGGATCTAACTAGCCTATTGCACGAATTTGTTTATAACTGTGTTTCAAGTCTACAAATAATTCTTAGTTTAAGGCTTACTTGCACCACCTTACTTTGACCGTAATTATAACCGTAACCGGTGTTTTTGTTTAGAGTTTGACCTACTTTTGACGTTTGTATAGTTAATGTAGTATGGTGCTCAACCCAGCCTTAAATAAAGCAAAGGCAGTCAGACTAGAGAGTCATAAAGTCCAAAATAATGAAAAATCTAGACTTGCTCTGCCCTATTAAGGGTAAATCCGACATGTATCAATAAAAAAGTAAACATTTTATACCCATTATACAAATGAACATACCATTATTTTAGTATAGTCTGTATAGGATTTATTTAATGTAGTGACAGGATCCTCTATAATTGTTACGGCAGGGAGGACGAGGATTCGGTGCCAGACGTGCCGGCCGCGGTGCAAGAACTGCTGCTCAATCTGTTCACAACAGTCTACAATCATCAAGATGAGGAGGGCAGGTAAGGATATTCACATAGCTATTTGTTTTGGCATGTATACGATTTTTCTCTTTTTTCCTGTAGGCCTGGGATGCGCCCCGCGATAAGCGTTTATCACGCCATTTTATCCATTTAACGCGATAAGCCAATACATTTGTCGTCTAAAATGATAAGAATTTATCACGGCGCGCATCCTTACTCTTAGATGAGACTCAAAAGCGACATTTATTATGTAGGACCGACGACCTGATAAAGGTAGAAGGAAGGCGCTGAATGTATGCCGTTGCCAACCGTGCGATGTGGAAGTCATTGGGGGAGGCCTATGTTCAGCAGTGGACGTCCTATGGCTGAAATTATGATGATGAATATTTAATTGACTTTAACAGTCGGGTCGCATAAACATTCTGAACTAAATTAAATTACTCAATGTTGGTTATAAGACTTAAAATTGTAAGTATTTTTCCGATTAATCTTCTTTTTTTTATTGTCTTCCACAGATGCTACTCAGACAGTATGGCGGAACTTCCAGAACACGACGAGTCAGCTAGCGGCGAGAAAGTGCGCGCTATATCGCTGGACTTAGTCAAGCGCCGTCTCGACAGAGGCCTGTATAAGCGGCTAGACCACTTCCAGCAGGATATGTTCGCTGTGTTTGAAAGGTATGTAAAAACTATCCATTGAGGGTATAAATCGCATAACTGAGTATATTTTCTGCGGTAGATAGCGGCGCGGGGCTTATTCCACTATTCCCCATTGACAATCCCCATCAACGGGGATTAGTGAACTTTTTGTTCACTATTCCCCGTTAACGCCAATTGGAGCTTATAATGTTAAAAATAAAATCCTAATATAGGCTTATTCCACTATTCCCCGTTGACGATCCCCGTCAAATCAACAAAAAGTTCACTATTCCCCGTTAACGCCAATTGGAACTTATAAAATCAAAATAAAATCAGAAAATTGATATCTTCGTTTTAATTATTTAAATTTTCATACAAATCGGATTTTATCTGGGGGCACGGCAAATTAAAGCGGCACGGCCGTACCATCCTTTTCTCGAAGCAATTCAGGCCATTTTCGACCGCCTGTAACTTCGTTGTGGATAAAACTAGAAGGCTGAATTTTCATTAGCTATGCAGGCATTGTAAAGATACGGTATATTTCAAATTTCATTCAATTTGAACCAGTAGTTTAAGAATTATAACGGGTCAAAGTTTCTTAATTTTGTCACTCACTGACTGACTCACCGATCATCAAATTTCTAAGGCACTTCTAGCAGACCTAGAAGCTTCAAATTTGGAATGTAGGTAGTGTTTGGTGTATGAATCAAGGAAAAACTAAAATATTTGGGGGCACGGTAGTGCAACCGCCAAGTCGAGTAAAATTTTTCAATTTCGGTCCAGTTTTCTAGATACATAACTGCTGTCTACAAAATACAAAAAGAAATGAGATCCCATCAAAAACAATACTTGTCAAAAAANACATATTATCTATCGATATTAAGAATAAACCATCTCATAAACCTTATTATTACCGAGATAAGAGCAAGGTGCTCGTATAATAGGCCCGGGGCGATAACAGTGAGTGAGGTGCGTCCCGGCCGACCTTATATCGTAGCCATTCACTCACAGCCGCCGATTTATTGCGGGAAGCTATCGGGAACCACTAAATTGAACTAGAAGTATTTAGAGGTTGAGAAAAGTTTGTGTGCCAAAGGAATTTACTCAAATATTCTCTGCAACGCTCATTCTCAATAAGTACCTAGTCAATACTTTTTTGCAAGTCAATTAAAAAATAAACTGAGAAAAAATTTATAAACACACATTCGTCATAACTTTTATTCAAATATTTAATCTATTTAAGTTAATTTTCCGTGATTACAATCAAGCAACGACAAAGAAATAAATATTATATCCATGATCCGTCGATCGAACTACGATGCTACGAATTGCTACGGCGTAGCATCGAGTAAAACATTCAATTGTTGTAATTTTTAATTTTAAAATCACATTGCAATTTTTTTTATTGCGATATTAATTAATTCGCGTATAAATTTAAAACACAGACACTCAGCCGAATAAATCACGAATGATTAAGCACTCAAGGAAAAAAGTTTCAAAGTACATTTTCCCATCAATTAAGTGCATTTTAATGAAGGTGTTAAAAGGCCCATTATCTCGGTGTACGTGCCGCGGACATAAATCAACGCGAGACAATGCTAATGCCGGAATTAAAAAATACTTGGTTGCGGAGAGCCGCGTAGCTAAAAGAGAACCGTAAACTTAGTCATCACAAAAAACTTTTTTTTGTTCACAACAAGGAAGCTCTTGGCCTATATCTCACCTGATGGTAAGTGATGATCAGGCCGAAGGTGAAAGCGAGCTTCACCCGGAATCCTCAACCACAGAGGAACTGGCTATCTTACCTCTAACTGCCGGAACACAACAATGCTGGTAACATTGTTGTTATGGCGACAGACTTAGGTAAAATGGTGGACTTCCTTAAGAAACAGATGCCTCTCAATCACAATATTAAAAAAATAATGATAGATTAAGATGATAACAAAAGAATATTACAAGCTCTATGATAATATTACAGCAATTTCACTTTATTAATTAGCCCACGACTTTAAATCAAAGTAGCTATTCGTATAATTTTTCAAGATATTTAAATGTAATTAAAGATTCATGACGATGAAATTGTTTCTTTCATTTTCATTAAAAATAGGGCGGTCTGTACCTTGCCTACTGATAAAAACGTGTTTGGGCATGACTGCTTTCTACTTGGCTGTGTGGTCGGCTCAGCACAATCTTTGCGGGCAGTTAATGAATTACTTTTGCTAATTTTTCACAACCAAGGGGCGCATTTAGGCGCTCTTTTAACAGTTTATTTTTCATTTTCTGTTTTGTTCAATCAATATTATGATATTTTATTAGAATAATTTACAATTTATGGTGTTTTATCTAAATAGTCACTTAACCCTCCGTGTACGAGGTGACTAAAAGTTACGTCCCGTACCAGGTGGGGTATGACATACCCCAATATACAAAGTGATAAAATTTTTATTGAACATTTCGTTAGGTGGAATTTTATATTTAATATTGATTATTTACGTATGCTAATTAGGTGTAAGAAAAGCTCTGAGCTGAAAATGTGTATTATAACATTTTTATCATAAAATAACAAAAAGACACAATTTCCGTTATTCTTGTAATTGAGGAATCAGTTTCTTATATATAATTTTTAATTAGTGCCTTTAATTATGACAACCGTTTTATTTAACAAAGTACAAGATATTTACTTATAATTTAAAAGTAAAATAAAAACTGGAAGGGTATAAATTTATTTTGATTATAGGTTTTGAATTTACTACAATTCTGATGAAAGAAAATGAGTATGCTCAATGCATAAAATGGAAGCGTAACAATTTTATTTATTTATAAAATATGCTATTCCATTTCAGTAACCCATAAATTGTATCACCAAGTATAAATTGTAGCCCATAAGTGTATGTTCACTTACATCTTCGGATCTCAGTACTAAACTTCCAGATTCGCACTAAAAGTCATCTCATTTGACTAAAAGTGCTTGAAAATTTCAGATTCCGTGAAAATCACGAAAAATATTATTTGTATTGAATTTAATTCAATTAACAAAGCTAAAAATATATAAATTATACCAAAACTGTTATATTATTTTTTAACTTTTTTAACAACGTCCCGTACCAGGTGGGGTGTGTGACACCCACACGCACTTTAAAGGCATGTAACTCAGTTGGTATTCACCGCTGGACTAATTTAGTAACGCTGATCGAAGCAGCAGCGCCATAATTCCAGCTACTGAGAATTTCAAATTCAGTACTTGCAAATTTTTAAAATTATGGCGATTTTTAAAGGCCTGGGGTGTGTCACACCCCACCTCGTACAGCGAGGGTTAATATAACTATTTTTCTTTTTAATCAGTATTCATTTATTTTAAAACCCGCTGTCTATATTAAAATAGGACTACGATTGTGTAATGTGTTGACTAACGTGAATAAAATAGGAATGTTTCATAGCACTTTTTTGTAATATTTGGTTTGGTTTGTTTGAAAAGTAAATGTAATAATTATACAAGTTTTTCATAAACCTAATCCGCCCCAGTCCACATAAACCATCTAAGACAATATTATGATGTACTCGCGGGCGGCGCGCCCTCGGGCGATGTCTTAATTAATCACCAGATTAGAGGTGAAATACTGCCGAGATAGCCGCGACTTAAAATAAAACACACAAATGCTAATGTAGTTTTTGCTGGGCTTAAAATTTCATTCAGAATCTCGGCTCTTAGTCAAGAAATGTACACTCAATGAAAGACGCAGCAAACGGACATTTGAAAATGGTCAATTATTGAGACTGACCAATATTATTGTGTTTATAAAACTCATTTATTTTTGCAAATAGGCTTTTAAAAACACTTTTACACGTATCAGTAACATTAACCTACCACTGATTCGGGACAATAAATGGGCTAGAGCTGAGAAGAAGCAGCGCAAGAAACTCTGTCACTATTGTCAGCCTCTTTTCAAGGGTTTAAAATATACAAAGTCATTAAGTATTGGTGCGAGCCATTTTTATCTTTTATATTATAATCATCAATTTTTTTCAACCCTTTGGTAACAACAACCATTGTACACGATAAAATATGTGTACCTAGTACTCATCAATAAATATTACATCTTTATTCTGAAGAAGCGTAAGCATAGCTTTTATGTGTTTCCTGTGAATTAAGAACTGTGAGACGACGATGTATGTACTCGCTGCCCAATTTGAAATTGAACAACACTTTACTTTCAATATTATGTGCTCAAATCATAGGGAATAATTATTATGCAAGGTTTTTTACTTCTCACATTTCAGTAGCCTTAGCATTATTAAATCAATCAGTGTTTTTCTTTAACAAAAATCGATGCCTTTTTCCCATCACATTTTCCTAAACCTACTCATTCTCCCGTAATACTTTCAGTTATAAATAAAATAATCGATTCAGTCAATAAATGAAAACACGAATTACACCCGCGGCCATAGCATGCTGACCGCAGACGAGCGTATTAAATTAATTATCCTGCTTTCGCCTCCGAGATTTATTTTACCATGTAGTACCCCTGTACGACAACCCAATCCGCACACAATATTCAGCGTAGTAGTATTAAAAAACAAAAGAGCGGGCAACCCCACCCCTACCACGCTGTGGGCTCGGTGTCCGAGCGGTCTCATTCCTTTGTGCGCACGCGCAACGACCGCACGCAGTATAAGAAAAATGCTTAAGTGACGTCACCAGGACGTTTTTACCGACAAAAAACGTAATTATTTTAAGTTGTGCAGTGTAGTGACGAGAATTAGACCCAACANTGGCTAAGTCAATATATTTATGTAAAACGTTAAAAGATTTCCTGGCCTGGACTTGGTATTACATGGATCTCACAACTTTTTACCGTAGAACAACTGAGTTGCATTACTTGGTTTTTTTGACAAGTATTGTTTTTGATGGGATAAAATTTATTTTGTATGAAAATTTAATTTTTTTTTGTTTTAAACTGTTTGTTCACTTATCTTCGTTGACGGGGATTGTCAACGGGGAATAGTGGAATAAGCCCTAATATATTGGGGAATAGTGAACTTTGTAAATAGTGCAATAAGCCCGGTGCGGGGGGGATTTTGTTAGCCTAGTCGCAGACTACACACGGTGGGTCGATAGTTGGGTCGGGCTATTAATATGGACATGTATGAAAGTGCGCACATTGGTATCGGCCCATTTTTTATACAAATTAAATATCGGGCCCAAATATCGGCCTGCGCTCCCCGCATTCTACAGAATTTTATTAAGTCTTAAGTCAAAACATCAGCGAAACTGCAGAAGTGGTTTGTAATCTACTATCTTAATAACCATGCTCACTTGTCGGTGAAGGTGTCAGACTGGCCGACTCGGACTATTTAAAATCCGCAAACTATTTTTTTGTTTCAGAGCGCGTCGCCTCTCGCGCACCGATAGCCAAATCTTCGAGGACTCCGTGGAACTCCAAGCGTACTTCGTGGAACAGAGGGACCTTCTCTGTCGGAATACCTTATCGTCGCCCGCGCTGTCGTTCACTAGAGATACGCTTACAACGAGCGTGGAGTTGGTTAAGCAGTGTAAGCTGTTGCAAGAGAATGAAGATGAAGATGATACCAAGTAAGAGCTATACTTACTTTACTCAGAAAGTTTGGGGACGTATTTTAGTTTGTTTAAAATATTGGACAGATGTTGATGAAAGTTAACAATGGAATATTTTTGTGTTCAACATTTCTTCGTTCTTTAGCTTCAAGACTTTCAGCTCTTCTTAACCTGCATCTCACTTTACCTAATAGAACTTAACCCACTGTTGTTTACAATAAACTGACGGAGTTCACAATTTCACGTCGACATAAAATATGCAAAAAAAAAGCGCATAGGCATATTATTAGTTAGGCACAGTTATCGATATCAAGTCGCGGGTAAAAACTAGTATAAAATATTATGTTTATTGCCATAGATATGGAGCTTCTCGCAATCTTTTTTTTTTCAAATTGGTGAAAAGGAATTTCTATAAGTGGACCATGCCTTATTGACCTGTGTTCGTTTTAAGTTACCCAGAATGGGCAAAGAAAAATCAGGTTAGAACTTCGATGCCATGCAAATAGTGATCAAAAAACGTAGTAACTTACAAATCAAAAAATATTAGGGACCTCATTCTACCTTTTTTCTATTTTCGTATTTAATTCGTATTTTATCTGTCGGGAAAGCAAAAAAAAGTTACAATTTTTATTCCCATTCCAGATCAAGCATAGACGACTCCATGCCTGCGGGTAGCGCACCTCTACAACAGACTCAGTACAGCAAGGGAGACTTCGTGTACATTCTCCCAGAGAAGGGAAACAAGGAGCCCGGCATAGTGCAGGTGGAACGCGTGTGGACCAACAAGGATGGCGTGCCGATGCTGTACGCCAATGTGTACTATCGGTAAGTCAAATTAAAAATCTTTACTAGTTTTCCTAGTATACAGGCTCTTTTCAGGAGACTCACATCCCAAATACAGCTCTTCCTGGGGCTGAGAAGCGGTGGAAAAATCTCAACGTTAGTACTAACTCATGTGCCCAATTCAATTGGAACGTGATTATGTGGACCGTAACACCCCAGATTAGGCCATAAAGAAATTAAAAAGAAGAATTAATGTGCATCTGTGTATACTATTGCTGACAGTGAGTTAAAAATGTACTCCTATTGTAAGTCAATGTGTACTACCAGCCGTTGTGTACATCTTTGTATCCTATCATATAATAGACATGTTGACACCACAGTCAATTGACGTACTTTTTAAAACTGTCAAAACGAAACTCTCCCATAGATTTTGTATGGCACTACAAGCAAGTGACGTCACTATTTTGTCAACCCAATTAAACTACTTTTTACAATTACAATTCGATCAAAAATCTAAATTTACAGGTAATTTAAAATAAATTAGGTTTTTAAGACCAGAATGAAGAGTCTTTTTAAAACAGTTATGGTTTCGAATTATTGGGGTATGGTGTCAAACTGTCTATTCACTTGGCTTCCCACTAGGTGGACCATCGATCTGGCGAAGGTCGCGGGAAGTACCTGGATGCGAGTATCGCAGGACCGGTCATTGTGGAAATCCTTTAGGGAAGCCATTGTCCAGCAGTGAACGTCATTTGGCTGAAATGAACGAATTCAGTTGACGACACATCAATCAAAAGTGGCACTTCTTCTTATCGTGTCGACAACAAACCTACACAGTGTCAGCCCAAAACTCCGCCACCAGAGTGGCGTTAGCAGCAGCATTTCTTAAATACTCCTGCGTGCAGTTGCTTGGGCACTCAGGGCACGACATCATGTACTTCATCGACTGGGGAACAAAACCGCACCTGTACTCCTAAAGTCTCTCTTATTTAGTTTAGAATAAATGTTATTTTAGAACTCTTTCACGAACGAATTCACTTGACGACTCATCAATTATAAAATAAGTGGCACTTCTAAAATCACTCTTATTCAGCGGATAATAAATGTTATTTTAGCACTTAACTAATTATGTACATCATTTCCAGTCCCCACGAGACATTCCACGTGCTGACACGCAAGTTCCTACACCAGGAGGTGTTCAAGACGGAAACGCACCGCACCGTGCCGCTGGACCAAGTCAGCGGGCACTGCTACGTCATGAACGTCAAGGAGTACTTCAAGTTCAAGCCGCTAGGTAATGATAATACGACTTAAATTCCTTTGCAAGACCGTAGTGAGACGGTCAACGCCACGGTGTACCTGTAGTTACGTCTCAGCAGCAGCGGTCATTGTTACGTCATGTACGTCAAGGAGTACTTCAAGTTTAAACCTTTAGGTAATGATAATAAGGCTCAAATTCCATTGCGGTTCCAACAGAGGCAACAATAGGCCAACGGCTCAACAGGTAAGCCACTAAGTAACTAAAACGCGATTGAAAGTGTCTATACTACTGTGCGCCACTAGCGATTGATAAGACCACACTAGAGTGGCGCCATTGTCACGAAGTTTAAGCCGCTAGGTAACTAAAATACGGCTGAAATTCAATAGTAAGAGGTAGTAAGTAGTTAAGGCGACAATAGTCACATCTCAACAAGTCAGAGGTCATTGTTACGTCATCTACGTCAAGGAGTACTTCAAGTTTAAACCTTTAGGTAATATAATACGACTCAAATTCCATTGCAAGACCAACAGTAAACCATTTGAGGTGTTCAAGACGGAGACGCACCGCACCGTGCCGCTGGACCAGGTCAGCGGGCACTGCTACGTCATGAACGTCAAGGAGTACTTCAAGTTCAAGCCGCTAGGTAATAATAAATAAATAAATAATAATAATAATGTTACGTCATGTACGTCAAGGAGTACTTCAAGTTTAAGCCGCTAGGTAATGACAATACAACTCAAATTCCATTGCAACTTGCAAGACCAACCATTGGAGGTGTTCAAGACGGAGACGCACCGCACCGTGCCGCTGGAGCAAGTCAGCGGGCACTGCTACGTCATGAACGTCAAGGAGTACTTCAAGTTCAAGCCGCTAGGTAATGATAATAAGGCTCAAATTCCTTTGCAAGACCGTAGTCCAACGGTCAACGCAACGGTGTACCTGTAGTTAAATTTCAGCAGCAGCGGCCACTGCTACGTGATGAGCGTCAAGGAGTACTTCAAGTTTAAGCCTTTAGGTAATATAATAAGGCTCAAATTACTTTGCAAGACCGTAGTGCAACGGTCAACGCAACGGTGTTTAGTAGTTACATTACCTGTAGTTACATCTCAGCAGCAGCGTTCATTTTTACGTCATGTACGTCAAGGAGTACTGCAAGTTTCAGCTGCTAGGTAAGAGATAGACCAGTAGACTGTTGAACTATTATCGCCTAAATTAATATTACTGAAATTCAATTGAAAATAATTCATATTTAAAAGCAACACAGGCGCGGGCCTAGCCCTGAAAAAAAGGTTTTGGGACATCACCCTTACGTGATTTTTATTTCACTAAGGCATTTGGTACAATGTCAACAGCCTGTTGATCTCAATAGACCATGAAATAATGGCGTATAAAGCCCACTCGCACACTCACTGCGGGCGCCCGTCGCACAGTCGCGACAGCAATATAATTCCGCGCGAGCGATAAGGATGGGTAGCTTGGGGTCATTGGACAAAATTCTACGTGCTCACGGACCAGGTTTTAGTAGTTCCGCGCTTGTGTCTAGATTTACACTGGGCGGGGGCTTTTTTTGGCTCGAGAGTACCTTTTCCTGTCTTTTTTTTTTTCTTAAATAAACATTTTCTTTTTCTTTCTAGGTTACTCCGACAAAGACGTGTACGTGTGTGAGAGTCGCTACAACACCAAGAACAGATGGTTCAAGAAGATCAAGGTCTGGGAGGGTTCGGAGAAGGAAGCCACTCTAGTTCCGAGAGACGTAAGTACTTGTTAGACAATTTGGAACCTTACTGTGATATCTTGAAGGTTGCTTATTGTGTGTTGCGCGATTTCATATTAAATGATGTGGTTTTGGTCAATTTTAAAGTTCTCGTCCCGTCCTTACAAGTCAATATCGCCTCATATCATGGCCGTCAATCCTGAACTAGTCTAAAACGTCATTCGTTATGATGAATAGTTGGAGAAATGATTGGTTCTCTATAAAAATGTTGGCTTAACCTAACCCTTCAACTTTACCCTTAACCAAGCTAAAAAAGGTCATTGGTTTTCAACCGTAACTTTTCAGCATAAAGTTCAAATTGATGTGGGCCATCCATGGCCACCAGCGCCTGGTTAATGGTTTTATAAAATTTATTTTTCATCATTATTCGAAAGCATCATTATGTCCTTCTCTTAGGTCATAACTTTCTCTATACCAAAATTGGCAAAGTTGGTTTAGAGTAGGCGCACGCCGTTGATTTTTCGTCGGCCGATAGTTTAATCGGGCAGTTGATCAGTATGGGCATGTATGGGAGTGCGCACACTACGCCGATTCGATTTTGCCGATTCTTCATACAATTTAAAATCGGGCACATCGGCCAACTAAAAATCAACGGTGTGCGCCTACTCTTAGGCGTGAAAGACAAAATGTATACTATTATGTATTATTACAGTTCTTGATATATTATAGGTGCCTTTGGAACCCAACCGAACTGTGTCAGTGTTCCGTGAACGCGTCGAAAAACACAAGGACGAATTGGCAGAGCTTGAAGTGTTGGAGAATGTACAAGAAAAAGAGAGGCCTGTAAGTATAATATAAAAGTGAAAGGTCACTGACTGACTGACTCACTCATCACGAAATCTCAGAAACTACAAGTGCTAGGAGTCTTAAATTTTGGATGGGGGTTCCTTTTAGAACGTAGGTGCTCACTAAGACGGGATTTTGCAAAATTCAACCCTTAAGGGGGTTAAACGGGCGCTAGTATTTAATAATCCTTGAAGTAACTTATAAAATGACAATGTCACAGTCAAAAACACTTTTGACTGCAAAAGTCAAAGGTGGTTTTGATCGATGCCCTTGTTCAATATCACTTTTACTTTTGACTGATTTTTGTAGTCAAGTAGTTTTGACTGATAATGAATTTGGATTGTAACATCAATTATGCCTCCTATCGCACATATTCCACGTAATATAGTAGCGAGTTTCTTTCATAGTTCCGACTAAACCCAACAACCTTCCTACAGGACGTAGTGATGTACAACCCTCTCGGGACAGACGACGAGAACACGTACTATGAGCAGTACAACACAGTGTGTTCCGGCGTCATCAAGACCGGCGATTACGTATACGTAGTCACGGACGGCGGCAAGCAAATGATCGCACAGGTCGACACTATCTGGGAGACTGGCGAGTGAGTTAACTAAAGCCTGGTCGTGAGCACGTAGAATTCCGTCCAATGACCCCCAGCTGCCCATCCTTGTCGCTCGCACGTAACTATGTTGCTGTCGCGCTCGCACACTCACTGCGGACGCGCGTCGCACAGTCGCGACAGCAATATAATTACGCGCGAGCGATAAGGATGGGTAGCTTGGGGTCATTGGACGGGATTCTACGTGCTCACGGACCAGGCTTTACACCTTATTTATACGAGCAGTAGGTCTATAATAGCGTGGTCGGGTGTTATCAAGACTGGTGTATGTAGTCACGGACGGCGGCAAGCAAATGATCGCGCAGGTCGACACTATATGGGAGACTGGCGAGTGAGTTGTGTCCTTTATACAGGTCGTGGTTACGTCATGCCGTTTTAGGGTAAGAACTCACAGCGCGATTTTCACCCGCGCCCGCGGCGGTTGTGGGTTTGCAGCTTCTGTAGAATTTTTTTTTTATTTTATTTTATTTATTAGGACAACCAACAAGACAAACACGCATACATGAAATTACTATAACTAAAAGTGCTTAAAACTAAGTGCTGTCTTAATTAAATATAGAATAATATAAATAAAAATATAGAATGCAGATACTTATGTAATAACTAATGCACAACTCACGACGCGGTATTCGTCCGCGGCGGGCGCGGTTGTATGTGGGTCCCGCGGCACCGGCGGACATCATCATCATCATTTCAGCCACAGGACGTCCACAGCTGAACATAGGCCTCCCCCAATGACTTCCACATCGCACGGTTGGTTCCAGCGCCTTCCCGCTACCTTTATCAGCGGACGGCGGACCGGCGGACAACAGCTAGTGGAATCGCGCGGGCCGCGGTAACCACAACCTCGGCGGTTTTCGCCTGGCGGGCGACCATTTTGTACCAGTGACTTAACGCGCGGCGGGATTTTTACCGTGAGTTCTTAGCCTAATCGCGCATATAACCGCTCCCGTGAGTTTTAAATAAAACCACAATTCCAAAACCGCCGCGGGCGCGGGTGAAAATCGCGCCGTGAGTTCTTAGCCTTAGTTTTTTTTTTGTAAATATCCTCGGACATTTTAAACTGCGCATCTAGACTCAAACTAAGAATAGCTTGTACTACGGTACTAGACAACAAATATACTTAAATACTTTTTTATAACTGAAACTTTTTAATACTGTTGAAACATTACCCTTAGCCTTATCTAGACTAGAATAAATTAGTAGTTAATGATATGGAATTAAAATTCTTTATTCCACACGTTATGTAGAATCTTTAAAATCTATTTATGTATTCTTACTTGATACTTTTATTTCAGTAACAAATGCTACTTCCGTGGGCCATTCCTCATTTTCCCGTCTGAAGTCGCCAACATCATCAGTAAGGTAATACAAAATTAAATGATATCCCAATTTGACATATTAATGTATAATTCAAAAACCTTAATTTTGTGTGTATTGTTCGTAGCCTTTCTACAAACAAGAGGTGTTGCTAACAACGATCCATGACACCAGCCCACTTGTGGGCATCGTGGGGAAGTGCGCGGTGTTGGACTACGATGATTATCTCAAATGTAAGTGCTGCTGATATTTTTCTTACCTCTGGAGGAATGGAATGATAATAATGTATAGCCCGACCAGGAACATAAAAACCCTCGCCATGTTGCGGAAAACTAATGGTACTAATTTCTTTTAATGGCAACAGTAACTGAAAACTTCATTGACATGTCACCTTGCATGTCAGTCTATTGCTGTCAAAGTGTAAACAAACCTTATTTTAAATGTGTGCAATTGATTTTGTAAATTAAATTGCTAAAAACTTTTTATAGTCGTGAAAGAAAAGTGGTTCACAATGTGTTAAAGTATTTGTCGAAGAGAAATACTAAGGGTTCGGACAATATTTTCATTGAATAATGTTTCCGACAAAGGCAAAAAACATCTTAGGACAAAGGTTGTCAAATTGACTGACATGTTTATCGGATAGTACAGTCCACTATGAAAATTAGCTGTGGTTTGTTTGAACTACCTATTTTAAAGATTTTTGTCACTTTGTAAGTGTTGAATTTTATGGAATTGGGAAATAAGTGTTTGAAGCATTCATGAGCAGACATTGCAGTTGAATATTTAAGTTTTGAATTTGATTATTGATGAATAATAAAATAAATCCTACTAGCTCGATTGAATGTTTCATTTAATTTATTTAAACCAGGTTACCTATACACATAATCTTTATTCGTTAATTTATGAAAATATCAAATTAGCCCGTAATCCTGAATCCTGATACATAAAGTTAGCCTACTAATTTAACACAGGTACGACTGTACTCAGTGTTGCACTATCAAATGCAATTGACGCGCCTCTATGCCAGGGTTTTTATGTTCCTGGTCGGGCTATAATATCTGCAACTCCTGTGTAGCTAGGACAACACTACTCTTCAACTCAGCTTTATGCCTGTTTTGTGTGTAAGTGACCTCTATGTAAACAAAATTCCTGTTGTGTTACCATAGGGTAGGGGTCACTTAAAAATTAGGGATTGATGGTGAAAACGGGCATTAGTCTTCCTGTGAATGTCGTAATAGGCGATAGGATCAAATATGCCTTTCTTAACCCGTCTGGCCGTGGGAAGTTTAAGCCAATTTCCTCCATTTGCCTCTGGTAGATTAGAGAGAGTATGTGCTCTTGCAATGAAGACTAATAAAGGCAACAACTATATTACAACTAGCGGCCGCCCACGACTTCGTACGCGTGGATCCTGATGTTTTACCCCCTTAGGGATTGAATTTTGAAAAATCCCGTCTTAGTGAGCACCTACGTTCTACAAGGAACCCCCATGCAAAATTTGAGACTCCTAGCACTTGTAGTTTCTGAGATATTGTGATGAGTAAGTGAGTCAGTCAATCAGAGACCTTTCGCTTCTGTAAATATAGATGTACATCATATTTCTATTTGCAGGTCGCCCAACAGAGATATCGGAAGGCGACATCTACGTCTGCGAGTCGGTATACGACGAGTCTAGCCGCGTAGCGCGTAAACTCAAAGCCGGCCTACGCAAATTCGAACACACGAAAGACGTCACAGTAGACGAGGTAAGCTTTTTACAGTTTGCACTACTCGCTAATAAAGTCTTCGGTAGCCTATCAGGAAGTTATCTGTCAGATAAACTATAAATTTTGGTTTCATGGTTTAAAGATGTCTAGACAAAGTCATAAGTCACCAGCAACCTGTATGTTTCAGGCAGGATACTCGTATACGATGAAAACTTTATCAGCAACTTCCTTAGTAAAAAAGGAATAATAAAGTGAGATACTTATTAATGATAAGATAAAGCTAAATCTTTTATTTCTGTAATTTAAAAAAATGTTACTATGCCTATTTTGAATGCAAATCGCTCCACAGGTGAATTTATGATCTACGTAAGTAAACTTAAACGTCCACATTTAAGTTGACTCAAGTCTTGTTTAATTGTCCTTCTCAAACTGAGAACAGCCACAGGATGTCCATTGCTGAACATAGGCCTCCCCCAATGATTTCCATGTCACGCGCTTGATAACGACGTAAACGAATGTATTTTTTTAAATTGTCTGTCTCATCTGCAAATCGAACCCAGCATCAGATCATCATCCAGATCAATAGAGTCCAACCGCGCCTATTATACCTGATTGAATAATCTGAACTCTAAATCCGAACTCTAACAAGACTTTTCTTCTCAGATATACTACTTCCCCAAGCCGCTGGGCCCACCGGCGCTTGCCACGAGCCTCGACGTGCAAGCTTCCACCAGCGCTTTCAACCAGAAGCAGTTCAACACCAACGTCAATATGGACCACATGGTAAGAAGACCACAAAATATACACACGACAGCACATCAGGTTACCCATTTTTGGTGCAAACTCGCCAATATTACAACTGCACAAGAACCGACAGTGGTTACGTTGACGTGCCGTCGTCTGTACTTAAGAGCAAAACAAAATAGGGATGTTTCCTGGGTAAAAAAAAAGATTTTTAACTAGTCCGTCGGTTAACTTATCAAAAAATACTCGACACGTATTTATTGCTTTTTCAAACTAATGAAAATTTAAACAGATAAAGCGCGCCAAAGGTAATAAAAAGAGACCCGTGACGTCAAAGTGTGCTTCAAACTGTAGCACTTTGTGGCGTCACGTGGAACTTCAACGCATAATACTTCGTCATTACTTGTTTGATTGACAAATAAAAATATAGATGTCCAATATTTTTTATAATGTAATTTAATTGACGCTCCAGTCATGCTCCATTCTCACTCCAGCTGATGTGCAATTCAGTATCGCGGTAAAGTTCACGCGCAAACAAAGACGAAACAACGGATTTAAGCACTTTTCATTAAAAGTCTGAACACCTTATTTTTTCACTAAAACACTGCAAATGTCCTTGAAGCGTTTGACCTGCGTTTGAGAAAAAGTAGCTTTTTGTCTGCTTTTACACAAAGACGCAGGTGCGTTCCGTTGACATTACAGCTTAAGAGCGTTGTAGCAAAAAGTTGGCGTTCGAATTTAAGGTTTTTATTGCTTGACGTGGCGTAGTGAGTGCGCAAACTGCATTTATCTGTACAATTTCAACGCTGCGTCGACTAAACGATCTTAATCCGTAGTTGTATCGTACCTAAGACAGTACATCATACATAATAATAAAGAAATAATGTATAATTTACCTATTTGATTTTTTCTCAGATAAGACTTTTAGCAAAATCAAGTTACGAAATTAATGTATTTTTTACACTAGTAAATCCCGCGACAAGTTTTTAATCTTTAAATTGAGTAAAGTACCTAATAAGTTTATGGGTTTGAAAGAATTTATGTTTTATTTTATTCTTTTTACAGCATCAAAAGCTTGTTTATGAAAAATATTTACTATTTAAATTTTACTTTTGACTTTTTAGTTTTTATGATGCGGGATGGAAATATTACAATTTATTCTGATTTTGTGACGTTTCCGCACATAATATGAATAGGTTAAATAAATATAATGAAATGTATGAAAACGAGCGTGGCATTTTTTAAACGTTATCTATAATATCTTTTTTAGAAGTTTCATTATGGCAACATTATAAATCTGTCAAAGACAAGTCATAGTCTGTGGTATACGAGTTTGTAGTATGGCCATGAGGTATTGAGGCTTCCACCATACCACTGCGATCTCAACCCGATCGACCTGATATGGAGCTCGGCTAAGCTTATGGTGGCAAAAAAGAATATTAATCTACCAGCAAAAGAAACCGAAGCACTGATTAAAACCTCATTTGGTCGGATAACTGCAGAAGACTGGAAAAAAATGACGGACCATGTAATACATGTAGAAAACAATTATAAACAGAGGGATAAAATAACTGAAGAAGAATTGGAAAAATTTATAATTAATGTAGGATGATGACTCCACTAATACAGTCTGTCTATAAAGTCGTGACATGAATGTTTGAGGAACTAACATTATTCATGTGTCTGGCAACACCAAAGTTCACCAAACATATGTACATCAGCTGTCATCGAGAACAAGTTGTGGAACGATTTTCATTTTGTGGTTTTTATTGTTTGACTAATCTCCAGTAAATTATTACTCAGCTACGAAGAAAAGTATAAACAATGAGTAAAGTAAATTGGAGTGCCACGCGGAAAGTGATTTTTAAAGTTTTCCAGCAATGTTCCGCGGAGTACCAAGCTGGTCAAATTTTGTGGGATTTGGATGATGTTTAAGGGCGAACAGCATCTTTGACGGGTACGTAATCGTGTTACTGCTTGTTTATAATCTACCTAAAGTAACAAATTTACTGCATTTTGCGATTTGGTGACCAAAACAGGCATTGTTTACATAGGACATTTTTAGGTTAAATTTTCATTGTAAGTAGGATATATTGTAGTACGACCATTTCATTTGATACATCAATTCAGTCAAGTTTTCTACGAGTTTTGAATTTGAATTAATTGCTTCATATCTATATTACCCGTTCGCTTTGGCCATTGATAACTGTATGACATCACTTTCACATCAAGTTGTCCGTCTACAAAAACAATAATTTGTTGCAATATTTTTTTATGATAATGATTTAGCTCTAGATTATAATGTGAGTGCATGTGAAATGATATCTTGTTGGTAAATATTTAACAATAAATAATATTAGTTAGGTTTTATAGTTATTCTTTCCATCCCTTTAAAATTTGAACTTTTTTTTTTCAGGAAAATCAGAGAGTACGGTTAGGCGCATAGTTAATGAAGGTTTTCAGAATAATGGAAAATTAAGAATTCCTGGGAAACACAGGCAAGGCCAACCAAAGAAAGAAATGGATAATTTTAATATTTGTGCTCTGCGCCAAAAAATATAATTTTTTTACACGGTACAAAAAGAGGTAGGTAAATATTTTTTTTTATCTTTTGCATGTTTTTTGTTTGATGTGAGCTATATTCATTCTTCATATATGGTAACCTATATACATAGCTGGGCATTAACTTGTTAATCCGTTAATCGTTAATTAACGAAGTTAACATTTCTATTAACAGATTAACTTTTAAGTTAACTTTAAAAAATGTTAACGGACTCGTTAACTTCCGTTAAATTATCCTAAGTCCGTTAATCGTTAATGAAGTACCTACTATTTACCAAAAAGATACAATAAATAAAGCAGCAATAAAGCAGGCACGCTGAAAAACACTAGAAAAACGCGTTCTGACAAGCACGTTCGGGTTCGGGCTTCCAAAACTTCCAGAACCCAAAACAACAGTTTTTGTAACTAGAACGAAACGTTATAAAAATGCTATTTTTTATTTATTTACAAGCTTTATATTGACTTCACTTGTTAGTATGTGTGGGACAAATCTTGCAAATAAAAAAGAACGGTCACGCTCACGCCCCATACAAAAAAAACCCAGACCCGACAGAAACGAGACATACCTCAGTTTTTTTGTCATGTCTTAATTAGTTAAATTATATATTTTTTATATTCGAAATCTATGTATAACACCAAAATAATTACCCTTTGTTTTTGTTCAGGCGTTATACAAAAACTAATACAAAATGCCTATTTATCATCAAAATTGGTAAATGTATGTACCTACCTAAATGTCTATTACAGCTGCTATGGAATGTATCTAGGTGACCTGTATGTAGGTGGCCTAAGATGCGCGCCGTGATAACTTTTATCGACGTCAAAATGTATGGTGAAAATCGATAAAATGGCGTGATNGAAATCCGATGATGAAAGTGATTAATAAAATGTCTTTATTAACTATGTATGATGCGTTTTTTTTTATGCTGATTCAATAAAAATGCTTAGTAAAACCTTTCATAAGCATAGATACCTACTGTAGGTATTAAAACAGAAACAAAATATCGTCGTCTAAATTGGTTAAGAGCTGATTTTTCAATCGTCGGATAACTTTTAACTGAAGAATAAGATTGGCACATTGACAGTTTTAGTATGGAAAATATGTCAAAATGACTAGTTTATTCATCAGTCAAAAGATATCTAAGGATAGAAAAATCTACTCTTAATTATATTGCCCTAGTATCAAACTCATTTGGTCAAATTGTATAGGGTTGCTACATGAAGAAAAAAAGCGCCCTCATTTTATGTCACGACTTTATAGACAAACGTAATGGAAATAAATGTGCCTGTTGCTTAAGTTTCAGGTAATGCATCCATATTATGTTGTTGGCTCATCAATGAAGCACTGAGTGGAATCGTTGCTTCAAGCAAAATGGAGCGTTTAATCTACACCGCAGCTTTGTTGTAGCCTATACAAGGTCCTTTAGACTTGGAAGAAGCAGATTCGATTAATAGGATTATTTCAATATTAATTTGGGCCATGCAGACAAGGCATCAGATAAACGACCGGGAGGTCGTCTCCTCTCCTATTTATTTGCTCAATTCCCATCAGTCATAAAACCGGTTTCTGTAAAATGTTAACAACACTAGCCGATGGTGGAGTGTTGCCATCTTATAAATAGAATATTGAACCATTTTATGGCCAAATAACGCAGTGTCAAGTAGTCGTAGTACTTGTAGTCCTTGAAAACAAAAAAAGTATCAATGACTTTCAGGAAAACGTCAAAATGGTTTTGTGAAAAAAATCCAAGTTGTTCAATTCAATAAAATTGTACAAAAATGGACAGTAATAATGATTCGTCGCACTGTAGATTGTGCGCCGGATTGAAGCCTAACAAGAAACTCATTAATATACATACCAACGAAGATAAACGCCGAGATATATCGGAAAAACTAATCCGCTTGAACGCGACTGCTGATTTGTATATTGAAACATTACCCAAAACAATATGTTTAGTTTGTATAAACGCTTTAGACCGAGCTTACGAGTTCATTTGTGGAATAGAGAAGGCGCAGGAGGTATTGTATGACCTAGCAACGGTGAAACTCATAAAGAAAGAAGCGACGCTCTCTGACAACGAAAGCCTTGGATTTGATGCTAACGATGATGTAAAGTATGAAGACTCTATTGAGATTAAAGAAGAACTGCCGAAGAATGAGTGTGATTCCGATGGCGGACCTTCAAATCTCAAGAAATCCCGTCAATTTCCGACAAAGAAACAAAAAAGAAAACCTAGAAATTCGATAAATATGAGCAACAGTCTGGATGCACTGGATGCATTACCTTTGGCTCAGCTTAAACTGACGTGGAAGGACTACAGCTGGACTTGTGCCTTCTGCGAAACGCAATTCCAGACCATTGAGGAGCTAAAAACCCATTCCATAGAGTACCACAACTGTTGCAACGCTTACCGATGTACAGATTGTAATATACGCAAATTGAGACTCGACAGTTTTATGATACATGTAAAACGGCACAGAAAATTCCTGAAACTATCCTGTTACAAGTGTTTCCTAAAGTTTAAGAAGCCCCGTGATGTGAATACGCACAAAAAATCTCATGTAACCACTTCAAATATTTGTCCCGGCTGTAACACTTGTTTCCCAAGTGCCGAAGACCTGAATCAGCACACTACTATGTATTACAAAGATAGAAGAGCAAGACAAATACCGTTGCTTGATGCTGTTGACTGCCTAACATGTTTGCTTTGCAAGAAAACGTTTAAAAACAAAGGAACATTAAATACCCATCTTTTAACGCACACAGACAGAAAGCGAGACCACACTTGCGACAAATGTGGGAAATGCTTCTTCAATAAACAGAATCTAGCTGGTCATATGTTATTGCACTCAGAAGTTCGACCATATCGGTGTGAAATCTGCAAATTCGCATTCAAAACTCCACAGCAGCTACGTAATCACGTTGGAGTGCATGACGGACAAAAGCCCTTCTCATGTGACCAGTGTGGACGATGTTTCCGGTTGCAGAAACAGCTTTCGTCCCACAGAATTATACACACTGACTTACTTCCTTATGTTTGCAGCTATTGCAATAAAGGCTTCCGTTTTAAGACGATCTTAAACCAGCATATACGTCAACACACTGGTGTGAAGCCGTATTCCTGTGAGATATGTCAGAGGGACTTTACGAACTGGCCAAACTATAACAAGCACATGAAACGACGGCATGGCTTAGAAATGGCTAAGAAAAAGCACACTCCAGAAGGAGTATACCCTATCAACCCAGTTACAGGTGAAATTATTGTTTACCAAGAGACGGATAAGACGTTAGAGTGGAAGAAAAAGATGATGACGACGAGAAGACCAGGTCGTCCCAAGTTAAATCCAACGGAAGAAACCGATGTCAATTTAGACTGTGAGGAAAAACCAGAAACTCGAACTGTATTAGATGTACAGGCACTATAATTTATTATTTTCTCGAATACTAATTGTATAAAATATAAGATTTTATTTTAATTTCGTACATAATGCTATGTATAAGGGTATATGTGGTCTGTTAAAGCAATAAGACTTGTGTATTTTTTCATACAAGATAATTATATTAGATTTGTTATTATAATAGTTTATGGAGTTTTGTTGAATATGTATTTTCAAATTATAGATGTTGTACGTTGGGTTAACCTTCCAGTATTAAGGTGTCAGTTGGAATACTATAGCAAAATGCGACTTAACAGAAAATAAACAAAATAGGCCTTGTAAAAGACAATGCCGGAAATTGGCGTCTTTTTTTTTTCGCGCGGCTATCGACCAAACCTTGTTTTTTGATTACAAAATAGTGTAATAAACCAAACTTACTATGACATGTATACCTCTAAACTCAGTCTGAACTGAGTTACGAGCATCAGAAGTTTGATGATTTTCATACTAGATAATTGCTGTTTGCGCGCAAGTTTTGTAAGAAATTGCAACAAAATAATGACATTGTATGTGTAAACAAACAATACCATCCATTAAAGGCTCCAGACATCAGTATGCAGCAGAATCAGCACAATAAAAAAATAGCGCAATACTTTGTTACAATTTCTTACAAAACTTGCGCGCAAAAAGCAAATCTAGTATGAAAATCATTAAAATTCTAATGCTCGTAACTCAGTTCAGACTGAGTTTAGAGGTATACATGCCATAGTAAGTTTGGTTTATTACACTATTTTGTAATCAAAAACCAAAGTTTGGTCGATGGCCGCGCGAAAAAAAAAAGACGCCACCTTCCATACAAAATCTGGCATTGCCATTTTTCACACAGCCTGCAGTTGTAATTTTGCTGTAGACTTGCAACTTACATCTTTAGGCTCGGTATCTCCTGAATCCACAATAAATTAGAAGATAACACTATAGATCGTTTCATCCACGAAGACGCGCCCCACCATTCTAGAGCTAATGTTTGAGTGTTATCGGTTTCGGTACACGCTAAAATCCAAGAGTGCACACGCACACTGCAATAATGACGCTCGGATTGCTCGGATCAAACTCCCCGCGCGATCGAGACCAAACATTGGTGGGGCGCGTCTTCGTGGATGGCACGATCTAAAACAGTAAGAATCTTTTTTAGTTTTCAATTATGGTACATTCAGCGTCAAATGGTTCGGGACATCCAAATTGGCCAAAAAGTCGCAACAAGAAATATTTGTTACAAACTAATGTGGTTTTTCTTTTTGGTCTCACAAACTATTTGGCGTTGACTGCACTTTAATTCGATTTAAATTTAGAAACAGCTACTTCAGTGGACAGCCGAGCCTGAATTATATCCTAGTTCAAAGTAGGGAGTGATTGTATGTATTTTAGTTGGCTAGTCATCTTGTATCTGAAAGAACCTTGTGTAATGTACTTAACCTTTGGCGTGCTATTGAGCCGCGCAAAACTGCACCCCCCAACTGCTACGGTTTTCAAATGATGTTTCAAAATGACAAAGTATTCTTGTCTTAGATCTGAGACATAGCAGTTGACGGAGGTTGCACAGATCTGAGACAAAGCATAGGAGAGGTCAAAGATCTGTGGGAGAGGTTAATTGCTAGTTAATAGAGAGAGCCTATTTTTTTCAATCGACAGAAAATATGTTAAAATGATAGATATTTTTTATTTATTTTTTTAGTTTATATTTTTTTACAAAATTGCCTACAAAAAATGTTGATTGAAAAATAGGCAGAGCTAAAACAATGTTGTCGTCATGGAATATTTAAAATCTGCCTGATAAATGCGGAAAAACAGACGAAAATAATATAAAATTCTTCCATCAATAAATTTCTTCCATCCAAGGCATGAAAAGCTTAACAGTTATTTGTTTTTCAAAGTATTTTTGTTATTCTTATAAAGAATGAATCAATCGCTACTTTGACTATAGATGTATGTTTATATTGTAATTTTATAGATGTTATAGACAATTAATTACCTAAATAATAAATACTTAATTTAATATTTTGTGTTTCAAACTTCGTAGCAAACGCGCCGTATTTCAAGAAGTACCGACATTATACGTACTTTATTAATCAAGTCTTTTTAATATTCCAGGAGGAATAAAAAACAGTATTATACTTTTGTACGCTTGTTTATTACGTACTAAATTCAAATTACGCCCTATTTACAACATCCAATCTATCATCATATAAAAAGATAAAGATTCGCATTTGAAATTAAATCTTTTTGCCATAGCATAAGTACTCTTTCGTAAGTAAGGGAGATCGTGCGGAGAGTTGTATCCGCCTCTACAACCGATGTGAACAACGCCTCAACATGACCACGACCGCTCTGCCAAGAGCGTAATGAATAAGAAGAACTTTAGGTATTTGTCACATTAAATAAATTTTATTATGTGGTTTCTTTCGCCGCAATCAACGCTATACACCTGGGCGACTGTCCTTCATTGAAAAACTTCCTATGTTCGCAGTTTTGCACGCCCATTTCTTTCAAATACAGCAACCGATCGTACAGAAGAAAGTTTTCCACCACCGGTTGCATCAGGTTTTGCATTAAAATATACACAGCAGCCTTTTTAAATTTCAATTGTGGGTAACTCTGCCATAAAGCTCTTAGTTTGTCCAAATCAAAGTTATTTATTCTTTGATGGTGCTCATCTTCATCTGATATTGGCATGTCGCCATATATGGGGAGGTTTGGCACCAATGTAAAGCCTTCCGTCGCTGCTTGCGTTATGTAATCTTCAAAAGTGTCGCATTTCTTCACTTTGACTGCTTTCCGACGGTTTCTGCTGACTTTGCATTTATCTGAAAGAGGGAAACGTAGATTAGTTTGTGCTCGCCAGGTGGCGCTACTGGCGAGTGGCGTCATTCGCTTTTAAATAAGAATGGGTCTTCAATTGAGAAATAATGAAAGGAGAAACACGAAAGATCCCAAAAGATTATGTGATCTTTTGGGATGGCCCTAAATAATATAAGATCTAGTGTCGCCATCTTGTGAGCGCAGATAGGTAACGATAACTGAGCTAGATAGTAAGTAATTAAAGGGCTTTATATCAAAAAGTTAAAATCCCGTTGAACACTTGTAAAAAGAGGCATTTAGTATGGATAATTGTAAACAAATTTTCAAGGCGTTTAACTTTTTTGTAATAGGCTCATATAAATGTAGGAACTATATCGAGAGTCCAGTCAACCACCTACACTTACTCGTAAAAGCATACAGCTGCAGCACCGCCCTCGACATCAGACTAAACACCATCTGCTCCAAACTCCTGCCATTATGTGTCGGATGAGCAGCCAGCCTCATGAATGGTACACCCAATAGTTCTTCCCCATCCCGTCTCTCAAACACCGCCTTTAAGACCCCACTCATAGGGAAATTCACGAAGCGCTCCCCTCTCCTTTCCATCTTGTGATAACAACAAGGCATCATTATCAACGTCCTGGCATCTTCCATTTTGAAAAACACGCTCATGCCTTCGACTGCCAAATCGCCACACGAATGCAGACCAGTTATGCACACAGCTCCATGATTCCTGAAGTAATCGCGAAGGTTCTGCTCTATTTCTTGACCGGAGTTTTTGGTGACTCGGTGATGGAGGTATATGACGTTTTTGAGGGATCTGTCGTGGTATTTCATTTGACGATCGACCGCTCGTGCGTAGTGGCTCAAGTTACATTCCAGACCGAGAACGTTGTGGCCGGTCGCTTCGTAGAATATCTGGTCGAGGTAGCCCTGGAAAGATGGGAGAATACAGAGATTATTATGTGCTGATAATTGGTCACTATTGGTGTTAAAATGTTGGCAGACTTGGCTCATTATTTTCATCATTTCAGCCACGTGACGTCCACTGATGAACATAGGCTTCCCCCAATAACCGATTGGCAGCAGCCTGCATCAAGGGCCTCTCATAACCTAAGCTCATAAGTTAAATGATAAAATATCTAGAAGACTGTGTTCGTCAAGACGCTACCAATCGATCAACATGGAAAGCATTGGGGGAGGCCTATGTTCAGCAGTGGACGTCCTATGGCTGAAATGATGATGATGTGTTTATTGATCAATTTCTAAAATCACTTATTAATGGTTAGAGCCTCAAAACCCCAACTGAAAAATCTGCCGTAAGATATTAAGTAGGTAGTTACTGTTTAGACATACTGATATTTGCACAATGTTGACAGGCCTCTCACTCGATGGACCGATGATCTGGTGACGGTCGCTGGAAGCGGGCAGCGCAGGACTGTTGCGCGTTGTGAAAATCCTTGTGGCAGGCCATATCCAGCAGTGGATGTTCTTAGGCTGAAATGATGATGACGATGATAAAATTGTCAACTTACCAACCCAGATCCGATGTCAATGACCGTGTCACACCCATAGATGTAACACAAGTCTTCAACCTCCTTCGCTAGTGTCGCCACTTCATACTTCTTCTTAGTTCCAACCGGAGCTTCCAAATCCACACTGTTAGCCCTTTCTTTTACCTCCCCATAGCTCACGTTTAATCTCTCCAATCCCATACAAAAATCTCTAACAAACCCGTCGTTTATACCATCGTGTAAGGTGAAATTTTCGTCATATACATCCAAGAATTCCAAGCAAGGAATATTTATATTATCCAAGGTATTGTTGATCAGTATGTCAGTATTCATTCCGTCGAGGACGAATTTGTATTTTGTGAAGAAGTCGAAGCATTCTTCGAAGTATTCTTCGGGCGAGGCGAAAGCTTTTGGCAGGCTCATTCCGGACCTATAACAGAGAAATAATAAAAGATAATAACAGAGAGAAAAGACAAGAAAAACAAAAGTAAAATCAAAATCAAAATCAAAAANCAAATAGGTACGTAAAAAAATGTAGCAACAAAAAGCAGAAGATGCTAGGTCTAGCACTTAATCAGAGCATATGAACGGCACGGGAGGGGTGACAATAACATAATGATGACGTGACAGATCATACAAATCGGTCTAAAGCCTGGTCCGTGAGCACGTAGAATTTTGTCCAATGACCCCAACCCATCCTTATCGCTCGCGCGTAATTATATTGCTGTCGCGACTGTGCGACGGGCGAGCGCGACAGCAACATAATTACGCGCGAGCGATAAGGATGGGTAGCTTGGGGTCATTGGACAAAATTCTACGTGCTCACGGACCAGGCTTTAGCTGACGTTTGACCATCACAAAATCACCCTACCGTGCCTCTCCCATGCCTCAGGCACCAGAACCTATAAGTATTCATAAAACATCGTAAATAAGCGTGACATTAAAAAGAAGCGTTACATAAATATCTAGTCTAGAAGCAATTAGGTATTTAAACATTACTCACACATCGAGGCAAAAAACAACACACTCCACACTTTATTTCAATTTACAGGATGCTGAAAACTTGCTCATGGTTGTGTTCAATAATTCCAATTAATGGGACAATTAATGGCAATTATAAATAACGCCTAATATTCTAAAGAAATAAAACAATTCACATACAAAATACTATTTATTCATAACAGTCTCAACTCTATATACTCTGAAATAAATACAAATAGAATGTCTCAACAGTATATAACTACAGGATTCTATCCTCTAAATGACAATCAACTTATACAAAATTAAGAGCAATAAAATATCTGTTGAATGCGAAAATAATTTAATAAACTCCCTATATACTGAAATATACGAAGATGCGGCGTCGCATTTTGCAAACATGCTTTGTTTGGTGCATCTTACTTCATGCGTTGACTTAATATTTATGTCGCATAATAGTTATTATTTGTAATTTTGGAAATGTTACTTATTTTAAACATAGTACAACCCCGAAAGAGTATTTTAGTTAACGCAGAGCTAAAAGTCATGCATATTATAATGGCAATCTGAAATCACCATCAATTATTACGCAGCTATGTGGATGTGGAATATGGAAATATAGCTGCCTGAATGACATCAAAAACTTTTTTGTGACGGCTCTAGATGTTAGGTACTGGACATTCTTTATCTAAACACACTTACTTAAGTTCACAACGAAATAAAATAACTTGCGACTAAATGCGGAAAATACAACCCAACCTTTTTTCAAGGGTTCCCGTAAACAATTACTTGTAACCTAGCATTTCTTGTCATAAAGCATTCCCATTCAACACAATTTCAACCATACATTTGAGCTCTAAAAACTCAATAATTTACTGTTGCGGCCCGCTAACAGTGTTCCACACTTCTCCACCTTTTTTCAAATCCTTAGACCCTTCCCCTATAACGCATTTTCCAGCCCACTTGTCATTCTTCAGGTATTTTTCGCAGACCTCTATAAGGTCTTCCTTTTTCACAGCCAATACTCTCTCACGTTGCGTCTTCCAAATGTCGTACGATAGACCATACAGAAATAGATCTATCCCTTTCATGTACTCTGCTACAGGCTGGTCCATTTGTTGGAGAATAGACAGCTTAGCCTCAAAGAGGTTTTGATCGTCAACCAACTTAGTATTCTTCGACATCCAATCCGAAGTTCCGTCGAAAACGTCTAGCGTTACTCTTGAATTTGGGTCTCTGTATGAGTAGTAGTTGAAGACTCCATCCATGGTCAACATGGCCCCTCCACCATAAGCCCCGTTTTGCTCTCTAACGATCGGATGAAGATATTTCGACGTTAAAAATCTTGAGAGCACTCGCAACTTGGCGTAATCCGGGTCTGTGTATGGCACTGTAGGAATCACTTTAGCACAGAAGTTGACTGGTATATTCATCGTGATATGGACTCCTCGGTTCTCCTTCGGCATATCGGCGCATTCCGTCCAATTGATCCGATTCAGTTCCTTGTTGCTGTCGCCTTTGCATAAATGACCGCAGAATTTGTTGATGGACTCGTGTATATCCTTATTCGTGTTGCAATAATGGAAGGCAGCTCGCAAGTTGTGCCCTTTGAGAATTTGTTCTCCTATCTGGTCAACAAGGCTCTGGATTTCTTCAATTTTCAGTGTCTTTTGGACTTCTTGCATTGAGATAACGTGATGGAGACCTAGCAAGTTTTCTTTGCACTCGTCGACGGAAGATATAAGAGAGCGGGCTGCCTGCATCGCGTAAGTATGCCCACTGTCGATCACTCCATTCGAGAGTGAAGAGCAGTAGTTGTTCAATAACATGCTCATACGCTCGCTGTTTTCGAAGTTTGGTTTGCTGAAGATCTCATTCCAAATTTCCAACATTTTCGGCAAGTTTTCGTCTAAACAGTGGCTGTTGATTAAAACGCCCTGTTCGTACTGGCCTTGTTGGTCAATATGCTCCGTGATATGAGTTAAAAAACTCAACCCAGAAGTGGTTTTGCTGACATGCTTGTCAAAGTCCCTGTAGTTATAAGTTTTCGTATCGAATTTGTCGAGGATATAGTTGAAGAATGGCAGCAATTGACGTTGGGTCTCGTTCAAGCAATCAGTTCCTAACACCCCTTTGAAATATGTTACTCCATTTGTGTTGGCTTCACAAAGCTGTAACGGCACCGTTTCGGAGGCTGTGTGTTTTATTGGAGGCGCAGTTTTGTTCAGTGTGATTTCGTCAATCTTCAAGCACGGCAGAACATCCAGATTCTGGTTCTCTTTCTGTGCTTTAGAAAGTTCCAAGCCATCTTTGTAAATCTGTTCTTTTTGCTCTGGTTTTAAGTCATTGACTTTAGACTTCAAAAGCTTAGCTTCAGCCTCGTTGAAGATGTCATCGAATTTGGGATCGGGTTGCATTGTCATTATCAGCTTATGGTTGTTTAAAATGAAGTACTTTTCAATCACTTCCTTCACGTAACTCGGGTTCATCAAGTCGGTCTTCAGTTTATCAAGCAGTTCATTTACCTTCAACGCGTTGAGGACAGGTCCATTGTGATTCAAAAGAGGCATGAGGTTGAAAAGGACGTTCAAACCGAATTTGGGCGACTGATGCTTAATCGAAAGCTCAAAACCGTGGAGAACACTTTCGATGTGCGATTTTTCGAAACCTTTTTCGAATATTTCTTCGACAGTTTGATTTGCGATCTTTTCTATGTTCTCGAAATTGCTTTTCTCGACGTCTTTTAGACCAACAGCAAATAGGGTGTCTCTGATTTGATTGTCGTAACCAGTCAAAGAGTTGTACCCGCCAGAGATGTTTTTCTCAATGAGGCTTTTATAAAAGGCCGAATTGGGGCCGATGATCATTAGTTCAGCCATTGCTGTCAGCATGAACGTCTCGTATACGCTTGTGATGTCAGACATGACGTAACCGATCGCGATTTGGTTTTGTTTTTCGATAGCCCCGCCGTATTGGTCCACTCGGCATGAGATCTCGGCCTTTTTCGGCGTCTTCCATCTTTCCTGTCGAGACACGATTGTGTCGCGAGGATCTAGAAAATCGTATTTGCTCAAATACGCCTCATTCACGAACTTGAGATTGGCTTCAAGGGGGAAGTTTCCATAGGAGTATATCCTCGCGTTGCTCGGATGGTAGTAAGTTTTATGGAAGTTTTTCAAATACTCGTGAGTCAACTCTGGAATGTGCAACGGATCGCCGCCAGAGACGTAACCGTACGTTCCTTTGGGAAGAATTGCGTTTATGAACTTCTGACCAAATAGAGAACTGGTTTCCGAGAATGCACCTTTCATTTCATTGTACACCACTCCTTTGAACGTCAGTTCCGACTTTTTGTCTTCGACTTTTCCATGCTCTAGCCTCCAGCCTTCTTGAAGGAAGTCTAGCCTGGATAAATTAGGTTTGAAAACAGCGTCCAAATACACTTTTTGCAGATTCCTATAATCCACTTCATTTTGTGAGGAGAACGGGTAAAATGTGTAATCTGGGCCTGTCAACGCATTCATATAAGTCGCCAAAGATCTGTTGAGCATTTTGAAAAACGGATCGCGTACTGGGTATTTCTCTGAGCCACACAGCACTGTGTGTTCCAATATGTGTGGTGTGCCCATAGAATCGAGTGGTGTGGTCCGGAACCCGACAGAAAAGACGTTGTTTGAGTCATCTCTTTCTAAATGCAAGTATTCGGTCTTGGTTTTCTCATGTGTTAGGAAATAAGCTGTGAGATTATACTCTTTGATGTGTTCTACTTCTGAACAGAGGAACCCGTGCATCGTTTTGCCCGATTGAACTTGTTTCGATACATTTTCTTTCTTTTTTAGGATACTAGAGCTGTTGTATCTGAGGCTTGGGGGTCCTTTTAGCCTCCTTTGAAGGCCCCCTGCGTGCCTGAGTCTTGTATACATGTTTCTGCACCTGAAATATAAAATACTAGCTGTTTCATAGTTTTAAAAGTGAAAATGAAGACATAGGGTGACCATAAACAAGTATAAAAATATTAAAGATTAATTAATTTTGTTATAATAATATAAACATGTCAAATATTAACTTTTATAGAATTGTTACAGCATACTTTGCCAGATTCTTTAATTTTAAAATTGCAAATGATCAAGTCAAAAAAGATCACTATCAGTCACTTTAAACAGATGTAAAGTAATACATATTAGACCCTAGAGCACCTTTTATTTTATTTTAATTGTTTAACAATGTTTCAACCTAATAAAGATTGTCTTTTCCGCTGAGTTGCCCATGTCAACATGTCAATATGACGCCGATCAAACGCCGTGTCATATGCCAGTTGACATGGGCAATTCAGCGTTTAGTAACTGTGGAACTCAGGAAGTTTAAAAAATAGGGTAAGAAATATTTTTTGTAGAAGATTTAACAAGTTTCTTAAAGATCTTGGTCACCCTATTCAAAACTATAGAATTCTTGCAAACGGGAAAGTTTTAACAAGTAGGTTTTTACCCAACTTCAAGAGAAGGGTGGGTGTCCATCTGTGTGTCCGTCTGTCTGTCTGTCATATGAATCTGGCGCAGATGGGTAAGAACAAAATAAGCTCCAAATGCCAATTTATACCAAATGCTCTAAAACAGTTACTAGTTGTGATCTAATAACTCAATTGATGTATCTTTGACCCAATCTTACTATTGGGTTACCCAATATTACATTCTATCCCTAAGGAATTTTAGCTTAAACTTAACAAATGATAAAAAATATAAAATGCTCATATCAGAACTTGTGTTTCTTTAATGAAAAGACCGATAGTTAGCGAGATAAGCATTTATTATTCGGGTTCTTACACAGACACATCTTGTTCGTACATAGCCGGAAGAGGGAAGAGCGTTCTACCGGAAACAGTTAACTTTTTAATATTTAATACACTTCCAAAGATAATATAATCCTAACACTCCCTCTCAATTACAAGTTAGGCTTTAACTTTTAATTGCAAAACAAAATAATTTTTATCTACTAATAAAAACTTCTAATAACAATATTCCACTTATGTTTTAGTATGGCAACAAAAAAAATTTGACATTTCAGAAACTGACATTAATGACAACTAGTGACACATGCAACTCACTTCACACTGTTCTATTAATGTAAACAAAACTTTAAATGCTGTTTCATTATACTGTGTTCTTGTAGTACCTCTATATCTGCGGCCTCTGCCTCGTCCTCGGCTTTTGCACTCGAAGGATTTATGCCCTTTTTTATGGCATGTATAGCATTTGATGACAAATGAAGATTGTGGTTCTGTGCTACTATATTCCCTCTTTATCTCATTGTCAAGCAATCTAGACTTTACGAAGTCGAGCCTTAGCTCTTGGTTTACCGTTTCCATTGCTGTTATTATTGCGTTGAATTCCTCTCCCAATCCAGTTAAGAGGTAGCTGATTTTTTCATTTTCTGCAATTTTCTCTCCTGACACTTCTAATTCTCTTATAAGATTGTCGAAATTGGCGAAATATTCTTCTAATTTTCCTGTATGTTTCAAAGTCAATAACTTTCTTCTTAGGCATATTTTTGATATGACCGTGTTTCGTTGGAATGTGTTTTTCAAAACTTCTAACATTTCTTTCGCGCTTGTGCTTTCTTTTATCAGGTTTAAGTGTTGGTCTGTCACGCTTTGGACGATGATACTTCTCGCTTTTGCATCCATGAGTTTCATCTTCTCATCACAGTCTACTATTTTCTTTATATCCAAAACTTCTGTTAGACCTTTTTCTGCGAGTATGCATTTTATCCTGAAAACCCAGTTGTCGTATGCCCCTGCACTCAATTGCGGTAGCGGCGTGTTACTACTTGACATCGCCATTTTTATATTTCACAAATCCGCTTTTTCCCGAATAATCTACAATTAATACTTTCCCTAACTCTAACTAACGGGCGTCTGGGCCCATAACCTATCAGAACTTGTGTTTCTTTAATGAAAAGACCGATAGTTAGCGAGATAAGCATTTATTATTCGGGTTCTTACACAGACACATCTTGTTCGTACATAGCCGGAAGAGGGAAGAGCGTTCTACCGGAAACAGTTAACTTTTTAATATTTAATACACTTCCAAAGATAATATAATCCTAACAAATGTGACTAAATGCTATGATGAATGGTACACCATAATTTATGATCATCATAACTAAATTCTGATTCAAATCCCATAGTAATGACGAAGTTAATGAGTTTTATTGGTTCAAGTATCATGATGCTAGGTGCTAGAAGATAGCAAGTTGTTCTTTTACAATTAAATAGTAATAAAGAATTATTGCTTGGGAACACTTGGGAAATGACGCTTGCCTAAACTAAATACGTAACGCTTCTTTATTTATAGTTAAGAAATTTGAAGAATAAAAAGCGGTGTGTAAATGCAAAAACAAATGAAAAATGAACTATGCATTTACTTACAGAGAATTGATTTCAGCGAATGATATTGATGCTTGAAGTGTGATATCCGTTCACGACACTTTTTAACAACCGTATTTTACTATTTCTTTACGTATTTCATCATAATTTACAAAAATCTAACCTCGCAAAAAGTTTGAGCAGATATTGACACTTAGAACCGGTGTTGCTATTTTAAATAATAATATCCAATTAGAAAGGAAAAAGTACCAAAATGATGAAAAACTTAAAATTTTTAACTGAAAAACTTAAAACTAGCAGAAATCAGAAGTTTTCCAAGAATTTTCGAATAACAGTTCATGGAGGTGGTGTGGTGTTCATAATACCTCAAAATTCCAGTTTATGTATTTCAAATTGTAAGAGATTAAAAACCGGTTTTTCGATTATGATTACACATGCCTGAGACACCTTCCTAACTCTGTTCCTAACTGTCACTGTCATCATTGACGTCTCATTCTTTTCAAACACGTGTTTACGTGATGCTCTCGTGTGGGAGCAAATTTTCAACAAAAAGTAGTGAAAATAAATCAAAATGAGTTTGTACAACTTTAAAAAGATAGCTGTAGTCCCTACGGCAAAGGTAAAAAATAATCTTTAAATAAAATACATCATATAACTGGAAAACAATCCAAAATGAAACTCCTAACCTAACGTGTCATGTTTATTTTATTTTTCAGGACTTTATAGACATAATATTGTCCAAAACACAACGGAAAACTCCTACAGTAGTACACAAGCACTACAAAATTTCAAGGATACGCGCGTTTTATATGCGCAAAGTTAAATTTACGCAACAAAATTTCCACGATAGGTTATCACGGATTATACAGGTTTGTGGCTGTTTTTTACTTCAAGGACGTACCTATCTAGCTGCAATCTTTAAGTTTATTGAATTTAATGTTGTTAAATAATAAACTCTACCGTATTTTAAATTTTCTATTTCACATTTTAGTAAATGTGTGACTACAGACTTATTCAATTTATTTAAATGCATGGTATATTTTTGAATCCTGTGAAACTAAGCTTTAATAAACTTACGTACTACTTTTCTTGAAAATTAATATTTAATAACAATCAAAAATGTGAACTTTTTAATACAAGAGAGAATTGCACAATATTTATGTAACATACTTGAACACAGATGTACATTCAATCTTGTGGTGGATTATTTACAAGTTTAACAACACCCAATTATTTACTTTGGGAGTAATTAAATAATAAAACTCTCTCTCTCTCTCTCAAATTACAAAAAAATATATTAATTTCTTTAAAATTCAATAATTTCAGGAGTTCCCAAAATTAGACGATGTCCATCCCTTCTACGCAGATTTGATGAATGTACTGTACGACAAAGACCACTACAAACTTGGTCTAGGACAGCTAAACACAGCCCGCCATCTTATAGACAAGTAAGTACCTATGTATTATTATGGTTCAAAGACAATAAATCTTTTTATGATAAAAAAACACTTCTTTTTTATATTAACAGCAATGAGTGTGCGTTTCTTGCCACTGTGTTGTTATATGATTCTGCCAAGGTCACCTCTGCCTGTGTAGTTGTATTTTAATTTAGTAAAATATAAAGTAAACTTATACATAGGAAACATCATCCACCTGTTATACAGAGATGTTACAGAGAGAGTTTTAATGTTAAACTAGCGGCCGCCCGCGACTTCGTACGCGTGGATCCCCTTTTACCCCCTTCATCTATCTTACGCGGCTTAGATTTTTTCATACAAATGTTTTTTCCTGCTAACTCCCGTTCCCGTGGGAATTTTGCAATATCCTGTTGTAACTAAGCTTTAAGTTTACTAAGGTACCTGCATGCCAAATTTCAAGCGTCTAACTTTTCCGTCTGTTCCCGTGGGAATTCCTAAGTATACTATTATAACCTGCCCAGGAGTATGAAGAATAATTGTACCAAGTTTCGTTAAAATCCTTCGAGTAGTTTTTGTTTCTATAAGGAACATACAGACTGAAAAAATTTTACTGATTGCATTTTTGGCATCAGTATCGATCACTAATCACCCCCTGATAGTTATTTTGAAAATATATTTCATGTACAGAATTGACATCTCTACAGATTTATTATAAGTATAGATAGATAATAAAGTGGGTAAAAAATCATAATAAATAGAAATAAAGTACAACTATTTCATCATTGTGTTATACTATTGCAGCAAAACAGTTAAATTGCATTATTTTAACTGTTTTCAGATGTTATGTTATACAATTACAGTTAATCATAATAAATTGAATAAAATGAATGAATTTCCTTTTCCAGTAAACCTTTGGACCAAACAGAAAATTAGTTTTTTTAATTTATTTAACAGGACAATCAATAAGATATTATTATTTTCTTTTTATTCATCTATACTAATATTATAAATGCGAAAGTAACTGTCTGTCTGTATGTCTGTCTGTCTGTCTCTCTTTCACGCCTAAACCACTGAACCGATTTTGATGAAATGGCAATGCCAGATTTTGAATGGAAGGTGGCGTCTTTTTTTTTTCGCGCGGCCATCGACCAAACCTTGTTTTTTGATTACAAAATAGTGTAATAAACCAAACTTACTATGACATGTATACCTCTAAACTCAGTCTGAACTGAGTTACGAGCATTAGAAGTTTGATGATTTTACATACTAGATTTGCTTTTTGCGCGCAAGTTTTGTAAGAAATTGCAACAAAATATTCCGCTATTTTTTTATTGCGCCGATTCTGCTCCACACTGATGTCAGGAGCCTTTAATGGATGGTATTGTTTGTTTACACATACAATGTCACTATTTTGTTGCAATTTCATACAAAACTTGCGCGCAAAAAGCAAATCTAGTATGTAAAATCATCAAACTTCTAATGCTCGTAACTCAGTTCAGACTGAGTTTAGAGGTATACATGTCATAGTAAGTTTGGTTTATTACACTATTTTGTAATCAAAAAACAAGGTTTGGTCGATGGCCGCGCGAAAAAAAAAAGACGCCAATTTCCGGCATTGTCTTTTGGCATAGAGATAGTTTGAGTCCCGGGAAAAGACATAGGATAGTTTTTATCCCGGTTTTTGAAACAGAGACGCGCGCGATAAAGTTTTTCTGTGACAGACAAAATTCTACGCGGGCGGAAAGCTAGCATAGTTTATTTATAAGGTTAAGTTCATTTACTATACTTAAACGTATTAAATTGAATATTATATATTATAAAATTATTATGTAAAATGTTTGCATGCTTTTATATAAGTAGATTTTGAGGAACAAACCATTTTAAGAACACCTTAGGCCTAATTCACACGAGAGCTTTTTTAACGTCCGTTAAAAAAGCGTTCAAATAGAACATATGCATACCCAAGTACGTGTTCACACGTCGGCGCTTTTAAAACGCGACGCTTTTTTATCGAGCAGTGTTGCATTTTCAACGCAGAGCGTTGGGAATAGGCTTGGGTATGCATATTATGTTCTATTTGAACGCTTTTTNGAACATATGCATACCCAAGTACGTGTTCACACGTCGGCGCTTTTAAAACGCGACGCTTTTTTATCGAGCAGTGTTGCATTTTCAACGCAGAGCGTTGGGAATAGGCTTGGGTATGCATATTATGTTCTATTTGAACGCTTTTTTAACGGACGTTAAAAAAGCTCTCGTGTGAATTAGGCCTTACTGTATTACTCAAGATTGAAGCAAATAAATATATTTAATTTCATTTCATTAATAACTTGCCTCGTGTCTCATTCCAGTGTGGCCAAAGACTACGTCCGCCTACTCAAGTACGGGGACTCTTTATACCGGTGCAAGCAGCTCAAGCGAGCCGCGTTGGGCCGCATGGCAACCATCATGAAGAGACAGTCGGCCAACCTGAGCTATTTGGAACAGGTACGATATTGTTTTTATTTTGTTGTATAGTTTTAGAGGCGTTTCATGGGATTATTTTGATTTTTATGATGGTGAATGAGCGTCTTATTCTCTTTTGGAAAACATACAGCTTAAAGGTAGTTTAACACAGACATTTACACCCATATTCACAAGAATAAAGCTCTGTGATTGGTTCATGTGTAAGCCCGTTTGCCCACGCGCACTGTGAGACCTCATAGTAATGTTTGTGAATATGGGTGCTAGTTTATAAAGAGGCAAGATTTTGAATTTTGAATGTTTTTTTTGTACTGAGTAAAAGTCATTTTTAAAAGCTTATCTGCAAAAATAAATGAGTTTTTTTATGTGCTTTAATTTAAACTACTAGACCGATTAGAAAAAATCTTTCACCATTAGAATTCTACTTTATTTCTGAACATAATAAACCACACTGGCCCGATCGAAGCTGAGCATGGCTCGTGCCTTGCGTCAGTCAAAGCGCGGCCTACAGCAGGCTTGACATTATGGTCGCACGATGTGTTATCGATACGTAATCGTGCATTACCCATGTCAAGTACATTTATGGTCACAAGCAGTCTGTCGTGTATTGAGTCCCATTGCTCTAACTACTTATATTTATCAATAAAACCGTGTAGGTATAATATATGTCTATATTACTACATCATCATCATCATCATGATCATTTGCACCTGTATTCACAAATTATGCTTGCTTAAGTGAAGCAGCAGCTATGCGAAGTTGAACGCACATCGTTGAATAGAGCGCTGTGATTGGTTCGTGTGTGTCACTCCACCACTCAAGTATAGGGATGTTTCCTAAGTAAGAAAGCCAGAGTTTTAATTAGTCCGTCAGTTAGCTTAACAAAAACTACTCGACACGTATTTTTCACTTTTTAAAACTAATGAAAATGTAAAGAGATAAAGCGTGCTAAAGTTCTAAAGAAAAGGCCCGTGACGTGAGTGCGTAAAAGTGCAGCACTTTATGACGTCGCGCGGAACTTCAATGCACTATAACTTTGTAATTATTTGTTTGATTGACAATTAAAAATATGTGTCCAATATTTTTTTATTATAAAATTGACGGACTAAAAAAATTTATTTAGGAAACTAGCCTATTGTATATGAGTAGATTTTTGGAACACTGAGCGTCCACACGCACTGTGAGACCTCATAGTAATGTTTGTGAATACGGGTGTTAGTCTACTTACTACTACTCTCCAATTTACTTATTTACCAGAGTCAGACCAGCTATAGCAATGAAACTATAAAGCCTTCATTGTCTACAGGTCAGGCAACATTTAGCCCGTCTGCCGTCGATCGAT